GGGACAGCCCGGGACACGGACAGGGCGCGCTTTCTTTTCGCAGCTTTTCCCACGCCCGCCCCCGCCCCGTCCCTGCCCCCGAGCCACCCTCTGGAAGAGCAGTATGACTACCATTAAAAAATAGAAATAAAAATTAAAGAAATACAGACTTTAGGCTATCTTTCTGGCAGACTCAATTATTGGTTTGTTGACACATAAAACTGGGGTATTATTTTACCAAAATTCTCTTATATACAGCTGCCCAATTTTTTTCTCTTTTGATCCTATACAGGAAGGGACATAAACTCCAATTCCTCTATGTTTAACTTTACTTTATAAAAAGAATTTAAGAGTAAATTTAGAAAAAGTAACAGCAAACAGAAGCAGCAAAAGAGAAGTAAGAGAAGATCAAGTAGCCATTACTTTGGAGTCAAAATTGATGTTTCCAAATGATTTTAATTTAATCCACCTATAGTATATAAGCCTTCCGTGATTTCAGTTCACCTTAATTTTAATTGTTATGCAGATCTCTTACAGACATGAAAAAAAGAATCAGAACAGAAAACAGCAGAGCATCGGTACGCTGCAGTCAGTCTGTCCCTGTNTTTTAATTGTTATGCAGATCTCTTACAGACATGAAAAAAAGAATCAGAACAGAAAACAGCAGAGCATCGGTACGCTGCAGTCAGTCTGTCCCTGTCCCCCGTACCTGTCCCTGTCCCAGTCCCGGTCCTGGTCCCTGTCCTCTGTCCCTGTCTCCGATCCCTTTCCCTGTCCCCTGTCCCTGTCCCCGTCCCCTGTCCCTGTTCCGATCTCCGTCCCTGTCCCCTGTCCCTGTCCCCTATCCCTCTCCCTGTCCCTGTCCCTGTCCCTGTCCCCGGTCCCCGTCCCGTCCCCTGTCCCTGTCCCCGTCCCCTGTCCCTGATCCCTGTCTCCCGTCCCTGTCCCCGTCCCCGTCCCTGTACCCTGTCTCTGTCCCTGTACGCTGTCTCTGTCCCTGTTCCTGTCCCGCTCCCTATCCCTGTCCCTGTCTCTGTCTCTGTCCCTGTCCCCTATCCCTATCCCCGTCCCCGTCCCTGTCCCAGTCCCTGTTCCGGTTCCGTGTCCCGGTCCCTGTTCCCTGTCCCTGACCCAGTCCCTGTCCCCTATCCCTGTCCCGGTTCCGTGTCCCGGTCCCTGCTCCCTGTCCCGGTCCCCTGTCCCGGTCCCTGTCCAGATCCCCTGTCCCCTGTCCCTGTCCCGGTCCCCTGTCCCCTGTCCCTGTCCCTGTCCCCTGTCCCTGTCCCGGTCCCTATCCCTGTCCCCTATCCCTATCCCTGTTCCCTGTCCCTGTCCCCTATCCCTGTCCCTGTCCCCTAACCCTGTCCCTGTCCCTGTCCCCTAACCCTATCCCTATCCCTATCCCTATCCCTATCCCTATCCCTATCCCTATCCCTATCCCTGTCCCTGTCCCCTATCCCTATCCCTGTCCCTTATCCCTATCCCTGTCCCTGTCCCCTATCCCTGCCCCTGTCCCCTATCCCTGTTCCTATTCCTGTCCCTGTCCCCTATCCCTGTCCCTGTTCCTATTCCTGTCCCTGTCCCCTATCCCCTATCCCTATCCCTATCCCTATCCCTATCCCTTTTCCTGTCCCGGTCCCTGTCCCTGTCCCTGTCCCTGTCCCCTATCCCCTATCCCTATTCCTGCCCCGGTCCCTATTCCTGTCCCGGTCCCTGTCCCTGTCCCTGTCCCCTATCCCCTATCCCTATGCCTTTCCCTGTTCCTGTTCCTGTCCCTCTCCTGACGGAACGGGTTTACCCCACGCCGCCTGTGCGCATGCGCGCCCCGCCCGGACATGCGCAGTGCGCGGACAGCGCGGGGCGGGCGGAAGTGGCGCAGGCGGCGCGGCGGGAGCGGGACACGGACAGGGACAGGGAGCGGGAGCGGGATCGGGATAAACAGGGAACGCGTCTCTGCGGCCCGGCTGTGCTTGCCGCTGTGAGACATCCCGCCTCTCCTCCCGCAGCTGCTCTGCACACGGGCTCTGCTCTGGAAACTGAGTCCCCGCACAGCGCGCCATGGGTTTGGAAGTTTAGCGGGCACTGAGTAAACGGAAAGGGGAGTTTTGTTAGTAATACGCCTTTGCTGGTGCAGCTAAGGTCTTGATTTTAAAGATCTCGGCTTCTTGAAGCTGATGGATTCACTTTCTGAAGCGATTAGTTCGTATCTTGTGACCTGTGGGWTCTGCAGAGTAGCTCTGTCCTCCTGAGGTCTCTGCTCTGCAGTGCCTTTCTAGAGCAGAAGTATTGTTGAGATAACCGTGGCTATTAAGAATCCATTTTCCTCAGGTAACGTTTGATTCTGCTCTCTTTTGCACAATATCAGATGGGTAGATTTTAATTGAAATAAAGGAGGTTTTGTTTGTTTGAGGAATCTAATTGTATTCTAATGAAAGTATTTTATTACCTGTGTAATAAAGAGTAAGAGTAGCCTGGGACAAACTTTCAAAAAATGATAATTGCCTGAAGATCTACAGCAAGTGCAAGCTGAAGCCTTACAGCTAAGGGAGTACTAAGGGCCTTGCATCTAAGGGCTACTGACTTGATTTCTCCTGCTTTATTTAACCTGATGTGATGTTTTCACCTCATGAGAACTCTCAAAAAATAATACATTACAAAATCAGACTTTTGTGAAAATTCTAGGCAGACTACATGCTTTGTTCACTGATGATCCTCTTGATTTCATTAAGTCCACTGTATGACAAAAGCTTTCTCTTGTGTCTGCAGGTTGGGTTTGTGGTAGTTCTGTTCTGTGTATTCTGTTCAAGCTGCAAATGTTCATTTTTATGATAAAATTTTGCATGCACATCTACACATGTGTGTGCTTTTAAAGTGAAGCGTTACCTATTTCATAATTGTTTAATCCACAATTAGCCCAAGAGTTGCACTTACTAGTATTTGTGTTTACAGGGGCTTCAGGTATCTACCATTGAAGACTGTGACTGACCACATCAATGAGTTGCTGATTCTCTTGGCTATTCCTTCATTCTTCATGAAACTTTGGTGAGGTTCCCTCCAGAAGTCCACACAGTCGTGTGTTTTATTCTCTTTTATTTCCCAGAATGTCATTATCCTCTTCAAGTAATTTTTGTCTGTGACTGAAGTATTTCTTGGTTGTAGAGAAAGGACCAAATTTTCCAATTTACCTCTCACTTCTTGTGTTTCTTTGCTTTTGTGCTCCACAGATAATTTCTCATKAGCTCTTGAAGGAAGGGTGTGTTCTGAGGAGTAGTCCATTTTTTGTARTGAGAGCTAGAGTTGGGACCCAGTTGTGTGTATCTTAGGCTTGAAGAAAGCTCAGGTGTTGGGGGGATCTGAGTTATGCAGGCAGAGTTAAGTACTTGCTATCCTGTGAAATGGATTGATGTACTATGATAATAAACTATAAGAGAAGAACAGAGCTAACTTTGCCGTCCTCCTCAGTTAATTCTGAGTCAAAGTGGAAAATATCATTAGGCATATTTTTCAGTTTTGTTTTTTTCAGGATTAAGAGCTTGCAGGTTTACAGTGAGATTCTGTTGTCTATAATATTTCATTGGTTTTTAAGATTTTTTTTGAGTATGAACTAAAACAGGTAAAGCATCTTATTTTTAATGTAGGATGATAYTAGGGGCTCAGTTTTTTGTGCCTTTTTTTTCCTTCTTTTAAATGTGTCTTGATSAATTTTTACTGAACAAAATAACAGAATCATATACCTGGAAGAAAAACAAGGGGGATTTATTACTCAGATAAAGACAGTTGGGAAAAAGCTTGCTTTGTGATCTCTGTCCTGTTCTAGAAAATGTTTATTTCTCTTGATCTGGGAAGAAAAGCCTAAGACTTTGACTGTTACAACCCGATTTTACTTGCATTGTCATTTGTCCTCAGATACATGAAGTCTATAATGGGACATCATTCCGTTACTATTGAAATTACTTTTCTTCTGATTTGTTATAATTTGCAGAAATTCAGTTAAACTTCACTAAATCCTAGTGATTCTCCTTGGTCAACAGAATCCTGCAACTTGTATATTGAGAATGTACATGGAGTGATTTCTGGTTCTAACAGAAGTCAGTGTGATCCATCTGTCATGGCTAGTAAGGGGTTTTCCAATGCTAGAATATTCCCTGGCTTTAGACAGTTGTAAGGCATGTTGGTACCTTTAGTTCATGTCCTTGGATGAGAATGTTTTTGTTTACTGAGCTTGCTATCTGCAGTTTTTTATACAGAAATAGTTTAGAAGCTTTGTACTTCTTTGCTATGCTAATTYCCACGCAAATTTTTATTATTTCCTTTGCATAGAAAATCGTGGAGGAAGGGGAGAAACAGTGATGAATTGTCTTAATGATAAGAACAAATTAGCTTTTCCTATGTGGCCTATTTTTCTTTTGTTCCTGTCTTTCAGTCATGTTGCACTGGAGTTCATGCCAAAAGTTCTGTATTTTTTGTGGCTGTGTTAACTTCACTTGCARCTACAGCTTGTGGTTTATTAATGATTTCGGTGTATGCTGAAGGGTGACATAACTAATTTGAGAGATTAGATTCTGATGTTATTCTAAATGTAATTTAAGAATTTGGTTTTTAATTTTTTTTTTAATTACAGTGAAGGTTTTAAAAAAACTAGAGAAACAAGAAGGCCTTCACAAAAGGACTTAAGTGGTCAGATTCTTCCTAGCACCCTATTTTGCAGTGCACAGCTCAAAAATTGCAGTTTTTCAAAGCCACTGTCTGATTCTCTAAGTACATAAATCTTGGRTTGTTTAAAACTGAAGTTTTAAACACTGTAATTACCAGGCTCTTAGGGCATGTTTTTGGCATGTGCTACACCTAAAAGGAAATGCTATTTTTTTTGCTTTCTGTGGGAACTGATGAAAATATTATGTGCCTGAAAGTTTTTCTTGTTTCTCTGCATTCACCCCAATCCAGACCAAGTCACGTAATTCAGATCTGCAGGTGCTTTTACTCTCAAGTTGCAAGTGAGAAGGATAGGGTGAAGTCCTTCAGAAATATTATAGGAATTTTTCTCTTGCTCCTGGACCTAGAGGGAGAGGGGGTTTGTGACTGCAATATTTTGGTAGAGKAATATCCTTTTACCAGAAAAGAAACAAGATAAAATGACTGCTTCTTTCAGCAGAAGGTCAATCCCTGTTCAGAAGCCATTTCTACTAAGCAGCTGTTTTTTGGTGTGCTGTGGTTGAAGATGTGGTTTCTGCTTTTGGAATGCATGCTATTATGCTGTATGCARTGGAGACAGTGTGTTGAGGTAGAATGTTCCACTGCAGAAATTTAAGGTCTAGAAAATTAATAGGCAGGATGTCAGGGATAGGGCACAGCAACATGTAAGAGTTAAAACTACAGCCATCCTCAGTGATACATTTCACTTAAGTGATGCAYAGCACATTCTCTTTGGGGGTGTTGAATTGCAGGTTGCACCCCACATAGAGTGTACAGTCTTCTTTAAACAGTCAAAATTCTTTCATATAATACTTTGTTAAAATTGTTAAACTCTTTGGTTGCTCACTCTCCATCTTTTGTCACTTTAATTAGTGGAAGGCAAAAGGTTTTTGTAGTTCACAACCTTCCTTCTGTTTTTTTGTATGTGTTGTGTCTCAGTCCTATTCAAGGAGTGTCCCGTGATGCTGTCTGCCTGTTTTTCAGTCTCTGTTGTTTTTGTTTGGGCTTTTTTTTCTTTTTTTTTTGTATGAATAGCTCCATTTACAGCATTTATAGGCTTCATAGGCTCAAGTTGGAATGATCCCTGTTGCTCCTGTACAGTGTTAATCAGGCWTTTGAGAGCAACAAAGATACTTGACAGACTTACTTTCACTTGGTTGCTCTTCAGGAGAGCTGGGAACACCAAGGACGGCCCTAACAATATCTTCATGTAGGTTTTGAAAACCAGTGCTATATCTGTTTGTTTTTGAAACTTTACTTTCATAGCTGTTAGAGTTCGGTATTCATGTCTTTGTTTTTTAATTGCAGAGAATGAGAATCTGGGAGCTTCAGAGATTAGCAGTTAAAACATATGACCTTAAGATCTGAAAAAAAAAAATCTGCTTGTTTTCTCCTGGAATGTTATTTACATAAATTTGTATTATAACAAAATCCTCTGTATTGTTAAGACATCTTTATGGGGAAAGAAAAAAAACAAACAGAAAAGTCTGTTTAATTGCTCAAGAACTGACTGTAGCAGAGAGAAACAGGATTAAAAAAAATGTTAATCTGTTATGTTGTATATCTCCCTGGCTCATTATACTGTTGCTGGGTGAAAATCAATACTGCTGATTAACTTTGAAGTTGATTGTTTCTCCGTGGAATAGATCAGTTTCTTAGTCTACTGGAATAGTGTGAAGTAGATACTTTGAACTGAAAAGCTGTGTAAATCTTGTAGTTGCTCTTTTCAGTAGAGGTTTGAAATCCATGACAAAGCTGTCCTTGTTTGTGTTTGAAAACTTACAGATTAAAGGCATCATTTTTAGCCTCATTTAGTAACATTTACAGAAATTGTAACTCCTCCTAGTCAAAGCAGTTGACAGGGATGGAACAGCATCTGTACTTTTGTAGCAGGCTTTTACATGTTCTTCAGCTCAAGCAGAAGTTAAAACCTGTCTAATACTGTACCTCCCAGCTTTGTGCTACCATAGGTTGACTCTGGCTGGCCACCGGGGCCACTCTTAAGGGGAGAGATAATRAGCTGAAAGCTTGTGATTGAGACAGGAAGATCCGTCACCATTTACATGGACAGTAAGACTCAAACAACATTATTTAACCTATTGGTGCTCAAATTAGGGTAGGAGAATGACAAATAAGAACTAATCTAAAGACCTTTCACCCACCTCTCCCATCTTCTGGGATAGCTCCACTCCCAGTTTCTCTCACTCCTCCTCCTGAGCAACGCAGGGGACAGAGAATGAGGATTGTGGTAATTTCATAATGCTTCATTCCTCATGTAAATTAGAGGCTAGGAAAAAACAAAAGCCAGTCATCCTATGTGTAGCCTTCCAGCTGAGAAGTCCTTGAACCAAAGTATTTTATTGATATATCAGAAGCAAGAAGCTACAGTCACTCATATCTGTTAGACAAGAATAACAGCACTCTGAAGTTGCCCAGAATATGGGGAAGGAGAAAGGAAGGTCACTCAYAACCAGAGAAATAGTCGTGAGTTATTAGTGAAGTCTGATATCTTTGGATACTGGAGGGACAGTAAGGCAGATTTTTCATTTTACTGAAGAATAATGAAAAGATATTTTTGTAGAGAATGGCTACCATGTTGCTGTCTGCACCTCTATGCATTGACGTATATTTATAATTTATGATSCAGTGGTCTTTCCGTTTTGCAATGGTTTTCCAATGCCATTTCATTATAAGTGAATATTTTGTAGGAGTTCAGTCTGCTTAGCTTTGAAAAAGCTTTTTTGAATGGAAACCGAAATGTAGGTTAAGCTTTTGTTGAGTAAAATACCAAATTTTTGTGTCCATTCCAAGCTATAGGAAATACTTTATTTTCTGTCCTTTACTGTCACATAAAAATCGCTAAAACTCTGTTTGAAATTAGGACTCTGGCTATAATRCTGCCATCTGGGTTTTCAGTAAACAGAGGGCATTTTTTCCTTAGTTTATTAAAATTTACTGGAAGCAGAAGATTGATAATGTTGTGACTTTCCTGTGGATACCCACTTGAAATAAAAATTTTACAGCAAAGACCAAAGATACCTCCAGAAGAAAAGAGAGGATCATGTAATGAGAAAATACAGCAGTAACTATTTCTTGCTAGATCACTTTTTTCTATTATGTGTAACTTCACTATAATGGACTGTTCTTCCTCTCCCATATTCTCAGGATTATAACACTATCACTAATAATTTATTTCATTGACTTTTAGTACAGTGAGGGCAGACAGTAGATGGCAGAGTCWTACATTTCTTTGCTTTTTCCTAGTGCCTTCCGTGCTTAGCGTCTGTAGGTGCCCATCTTATTTTCTTTATTACTTTTGCATTACTTGATTCATTGATGAAAAGTTTTAAATCTGTACATAAGCATTTTTTGTTCATTTTAAGTGAAAATGACATTTAATTACTTGCAGTCAAATTTTCTTACAGGAGAAAAACTGAATATAGACTTTGTCTATGATCTTGTGCTGGGGAAGGAGTCATTCAAAGTCTTTGCTTGTTTTTTTATCTGCATTTCTGTACATAAAATATTAACATTGTTTACATTACTCTTTGCATTTATGTGCATTTCTATTTAWTTGTATGTAAAGCAATATTTGCCATTTATGGTGTTTTGGAATGTTTGAAAAATCAACTGATTTAGATGGTTGTCTATTGAAAAGAAAATGTTACTTTCTTGCTATTTACGATACTCAGAGATGAGGCCAATCCCTCTGAAAATTCTTAGTCTTACATAATGAAACTTCCTTATTATGATATAGATAAGTATTCCTCTTCTGAGTAAGCTGCAACTTCTAGTAACTCTTAATGTCAGCAAGATGAGGAACCTCAGGACTCTTTATATTTTGTGTTTAGATAAAGCAACTATGCCTGTTCAATTGCTGAAGCTCATTAAAGGACAATCTGAGGCTCCACTACCAAGCCATTTGCAGAGGGAGAGTTTGCAACATTTGCAAGAAGGATGTGACCATACCAACAAATACATTCAGGTAAACTGACCAATAAAAAGGATGTGTCTTGCTTTGAAAGAGTTCTGCTACATTAGCAAGGCACTTCCATATTCCAGCTCAGTTGGTGACTTTCTGTAACTGTGTGTCTTTGTGTTGATGTGTTGCATATCTTTAAGCAGTGGAAAATTATGACCTCATTGAACTTCATTGCATGTTGCTATTACCTCCATTGATTCACGGTTCTGCCCTAGTTATCAGACTAAAATTGTATAAGAGCTTCTCTTTTCACAGTTTGTAAGTTGTGGACCAATTTAAAAACACAATGTGCAGAATGCTGAAAATGGAGGGATTGGGAGAGGTTAAGTCGTATTTTTTTTTAAAGAAGTAGTAATAAGCACCTCAATCCTGTCAAAGATCAGATTACAGAGTCATGGCTTCTAAAGTATTTTTCCTTTTGTGTGAAACARTACAATATCCAGTTTTATGAAACATGTTGTTTGTTGCAACTTCCAGCATCAAGACACAATTAGTTTTTTTTTTTTTTATCATTACCGAGTGTCCACTTACATTTGACAGTAATCTCAAATATATTTCAGATTGAAAGTATAATCCTGCTGTGCGAGTAAAATGCAGAAATACCTTTTTCATGCCTGAAACAAGCATTCTCTGTAAAATGCAGTGTAAATTCTTGAGTGTCTTCTTTTTTTATCCTGTTTAACTTTTTTTGTCTTTGGCTCTGAGAATTCATTTAGGCATCCCTGATGCTTATGTGTCAGAAAATCGGCATTAACCCAGACTTGCTTTCAGTCAGTCACTAAAAAAACAAGAATAAAAAAAGCTAGTTCTGTGGAAAACGTAAGTTGTCTTGAATCCTTCAAAAAAAARCCACAAACATTTTTAAAATATGAGCTGAACTGATGTTTTTCTGTATTCAAAAAAAACCCTTTTTGCTTCCACGGCTGTATATTCCCAGTTCCAAGACTAGTGCTTATGTGACCCTGTGATTGAGATCATTCATGAGAAGGAGACTGGCAGAAAACCATCCATATTGATGGAGAGAAGATGATTTTCTGCTGCTCTCACTCTGCACTGGTTCACTGTGGTGTCAAATTGACAGCAGGAGTGCTGCACTTCGGTACAGAAAAGGAACAAAACTGCCCTGTTTGGAAGCAGGCAGCAGTTGAGTGGTATAGGAGGTGATTTGATTGAGAATGATCCAGCCTCCCTTAGGTCTTGTAAAGGAACAAATGGAAACATCAATAACCACTGCTGCTAGCAAACAGGTTTTATTCCTCAGGGTGTAGTTTCCTGTCCCAGTTCACCTGCTGGATATATAGACTTTTCTGCTTTGAAGATCTATATCTGCAAGCAGCCCTGACATGGAAGAGCAGGAATTCCTGTTCAGAAGGAAGTGGTGAAGGAGAAAAAAATGGATTATAAATTAGAAGACWTTTCTGCCAAAATAAATGTTTCCATTAGGAAAGCAGAGCAATTACTATCAGATGATGATTTAAAGCATACATGCAGTGCTATAGCTGATTCTGAAAGGGCAAGTGTGTAGAATATCTTTCTCAGACTTTATGTGAAGAGAACTTCATGCTGCTGCTGACATGGATTAGTAGGTGACTAAAACAGCTTGGCATAAAAACAGCACTACTGGAGAGCTGATAAAGCTGGTGCTAATGCACCATTAAATGTGTGGGAAAATCCAGTTCTGCAGTTGAGTTTGAAGTGAAYCTTAGAATGCACTGATGTTAGGTTATCTTAGTGGTGGCACCCTGTCACTCCAGACTTGCCAAAATAGGGATCAGGTCCTGCTTTGACAAGGAGGGAAGGGCAGAGGAGGATTTTTATGAAATGTGTTCTGGGAAAAGCAAGAAAAAACATTTGGGATGCCTCTGTCTGACTTATGTGCCTCAGTCCTTTCATTCTTTATGTTTTTTTCTTCTGACATCTCTTTGAAAACTGCAAGTTTGTAATTTATGGAAAAACAGCACAAGCAATGTTCATACCTCCTCAGTCATCATGTCTGTTAACTAAACATTATGCCTTCTCCCATTATTTCATCATCCTCTGGGTTTTGCAGTGGCAAAGCTGAATGAAAGCTGAAAATCAGCTACCAGATCAGCTGTAGAAACAGACTGAGGGAGTGAGGGCTGATAAGGAGGGAGAAACATTCTCTAGAGGGATTGTACATGGTTAGTTTGAGAGTAAGCCTAGAGGCAAATGGAATGCAGAGGGTTTTGGGAAAAGTTTGCTTCTGAACTCAGTAAGTAGTGCAGGATTTGTGGGGGAGGAGTCAGTTTGAGAAAGTTTTGCTAAGATAATTTTTTTTAAGTTAAAAGCCCAAGAATTTTCAGGCATGTGGAGAAAGCAATGGGCAGTATGAGGAAGTGGGCAGTAGCTGGTGAAGAGAACTATAGTGCAGGTGTATGGTATACAAAGGAAAGTGGAGGGGCCAGACCATTATAACAAAGAATGTGGTTACAGAATTTGAAAACCCTTTGGAAGACACTGGTATATAAAAGGAAAAGTAAAAAGTRAAGATGGTCAAAAAGCAGTCACTACCCCATCAATCTATTACACTTTTAAATAATGTGCTGGTGCAGACTGAAATTTCRTATGAAGAAAAAAATATATATGTAGATGTTGAGTGTTCCTGAGGTGACTGTTCCATTGCAAAGACTTTATTACAAGAAAAAATGTAATCTTTTGCTTACCTGTGATTACAGTTCAAGACAATCTCAACAAGAACCATTATGTGTACAGACATATGTATATATCTATGTGTATATACATATACATAAAGTGAAATTTTGAAAAAGGTTGTGATTTTGAAAACAAGTGAGAAACCTTTGTTTTAAACAGCTASGTTCCTACTCTTCACAGAGAAGACTAATGAGTTTTGTAAAGAGATTTAATTATCAAATTATTTTGAAAATCAGCATCTGCAAATAATGTGAAGGTTTTGTGGAGCTGTATTATTTCTTTATAAAACAGAGAGTAAAGTCTTGTTGAATTTGATTTCRATTACTCCTCGGTTAGCATGTTGTAGGACAAATTTTACCCTGAAAGGCGTCTAGAGTAACAATTCCCTGCTGCATATTGTATTCTGATTTGGATTAAGAGGCATTTGCTAGCATTTAAGTCAAGCTTCCCAATGAATATATGTACTGTAAAATCACTGGAGTTTAACTGATTTTCTTCTTWATGTGGCTTTTGTATATTTATAGATAGATTGCCTGTGTCTCTTTTTACAGGAAACCTTTTTGTCAATTTTTCTGCTGTTGGTGTAGTTTTTAAAAACATTTTACAGAGTCTGTTCTCAATATTTTAATTTTTTATTGAACCAATTGTTGTGGTTTTATCATTGAGCAGGATATAGTACCTTACCTGCCACACGGTGAAAGAATACATTTGACTGACATTTTTGGTTCTGTTGATGATACCGTCTTTCTAACTAGATGTGTTTTTTCCAAAGARGTGTTAACATTACTGAAGTTGCTAGTCTTCTTTGCTTCTGCTAGTGATTTTTGCCTCACTGTTACTTCAGCATCCCAATAAGAAGAGTATTTTTAATTAATTGTTAAATCATAGCATTTTTTAGAGCACTTGTATTATTCTTGCCAAATAATTGGGACACTACAAAGTTTCAAAACTTTGTAATAATCTTCTCACAGCTGTATTTTTTTCATAGAAGATTATTTATCTTCGTATGCATCTCTTATGTTTTGACTGTGATTTTGTTCTGATATTTATGTTGCAATCCTTTGGCCATATTTTTGGAGGAATTTTGACTGCGATTTTGTTCTGATATTTATGTTGCAATCCTTTGGCCATATTTTTGGAGGAATTTTGACTGTGATTTTGTTCTGATATTTATGTTGCAATCCTTTGGCAATATTTTTGGAGGTCTGTATCTTCTAAGATTTTGATCACTACCTCTTTAGATGCCTTTCCRTTTTTGTGCTAAAACTCTAGTCTTTTATGCTATTTTTTTAATTAATAAAAGTTACATTTATAGTTCCATAGCTGCTATTTTATTTTTTAATCTAAGCTTATCATGTGGTCAGTAGCATCTAAGTARTACTGACATGCAATACTTCTTTGTTATATCTCAAGAATGTTGCTTTTTAGTGCTGTCTGTAGAAGGATTTTTTTTTCTTTTGTTAAGAATTTGGATGACAATTTGCAGTTATTCTTTAAATTCTTACAGRTGTTTGAGCTGTTATCATTGTTTCAGTAACTTAAAGGCATACAGTCTTAGTTCACGACATTTTATTTTTTTTTTTTTGCTTTTTAGGGAATAGTTACTCTTTCATACCCATTAACCAAACTCGGAGATGGAACAGACTTTTTCAAGATTGTTCTTCAAGGTACTACATTTAAATATACATTTTAAATTTGTGATACTACATCAGTAGTACTTGCTTTTGTATGGTGTTCAATAAAACGTTACAGATAAAATACTCCCTAAAACTGTTCATTTTCTACAAAAAAAGTTTGTCTGAAACTTGTGCTAGGTAAGTTAATGGAAGCAATACGGTCTTTATTTTCAGAGGACATCTTGTTGCATAATTTTTTGAAAGGCTGTCCTGGAAATGTATTAGATATCTGTATAGCTTTAATAGTGTATTTGCAAACTGCTTATCGTAAGCAGGACTAAGAAAATTGCACACATAATAGTTACCACATRATATACATAGCATATACTAGGCACTAGTATATATTAGTGCACATTTAATGTAGGTCAGTATTTTGATTAGCAGCAAAATATTTGTGTTTCATTCTATTTTAATCTAAGCATTAAAAAAGCACAATTTCACCTGACTACTCAAGTATTTGAATATCAGTAGCTAAATTAGCACTTTGAAAGACCTRAGTTTTTCATCATGTAATAAATGATACGAAAAAATAATGTGTTCCTTTTAGGTCTTAAGATTATCACCCCTTCCAGTCAGGAAGGTGGAGGAGGTAATTTGTTAGGAGTCTGTTGGATTCAAGGAACTTTKCATTTCCTTCCATTTGATTCTCATCTCATTCCTTCCAGTGGCTGGAGAATCATCACTTGCTCCCTCTGAGCATCCTGACTCCTGTTGCCTGAGTAGCAGGCCTGGGGTGTGCARGTGCTGCCTGGTGACACTGCTTGTGACTGCTGATAGCAGAGGTGAATGAAGCTGATGGGATCTTAGTCAGTCTCCCTGCTGTCTTCAGAGTTCTCAGAGGGGTGCTTAACCTTCCTRAGTCTTGCTGATTTCAGTGACTGTTCGGGAGAGTTCCTACACATTCTCCACATAAACATAAGTTTTCACATCTAAATCATTGATGTTTTTTCTGAAACAGTGGAAGGTTGAAAACGCTTAAAACAACAACATAATTTCTGCTTCAGTCCTCCTGAAAGGCTGTTAATTAATGTCTATGTCCTGGAATATCTTCAGTTTATAATAAATTCTGCGGTAGGATCTGTGTTAATGTGGCTTGATAATGTCTGTCTAATACTWTACATTGAATTATCCAAATGGAAATCTTTGTCATTTCTGTTTAATGTACACAGGTGTACAGCATCATATTTTAAATGGTCCTCTTAGGAAGAACATTCTGAGCAACATACCTATAGTTAGTACCTTTTCTGTTTGTAGATTAATTGAGAAGTGTTAGACTCTGTAGATCAACTTGCTTTGCAAATTTCTTTCCATTGCTATTTTGTTTTGGAGAAGGTGTAGTGATTGGAATCTTTTTTTTTTTTCCCTCTAGATTCTGAAAATTTGCGTTCTCGGATCAACAGCATCAATATTTTAATATATGGAAAAATGGCAAAGGACTGTGCAAGAATTATATGCCATGGGGTAAAAAAGACCACCAGAACATATATACATACATATTCTTGTTTTAGGAGTTGTTTTTACAGATCTGTGTTGACTTCTTGTCTTGTCTTGGTCCACCTATCCCTAAAATTAGAAATAGCCTGTTCAGTCCCTTTAAATCTATAAATATGAACTAGAACAAAAAAAAAAAACCAACCTATTTGCTTATGTAAATTCTTTCTCGCACTAATATTGAAATAAAGAAAGTCTTTTTATCAGTGCTGTTTACTTGGCAAGCAAAGGATTATGAATATAGATAATAGAGAAGTCACCACTTATATTTTGAATGTTTTGCCATTTGATAAGGTGTATCTTAGATTAATTTAAAAGACTAGTTAGACTAGTTTAAAAGTTTAGTTATGTTAAAAGATTTTTGAAAAATTTCAAAACTATTCATACAGAGTTTGTATTGACTTGGTGCTGGTGCCTTGCTTTGTCAGGGATAGAAGCTTGGTTTCATTAGCTTCAGGTAAAAGAGTAGTCAGCCTGTGCGTTTGTAAGACTGTGTTGCCGCTAATGAAGGAAAACAAGATGAAACAACTATCTCCATCTTTTTATAAGAGTGCCTGTCAGCTTACTGACATTTCAGTATTAGCCAAATACCAAATTAAAATTAGTTTACAATACGTTATGAGCTCATGTTAGTGCTTTTTGATTTGTGATATGCATTCTCATTAAATTATGGAATGGTTTGGGCTGCAACGCACCTTCAAAGATCAACCAGTTACAACRTCCCTACTGTGGGCAGGGACCTATTTCACTACATTAGATTGCTCCAAAGCCCTCTCCAGCCTGACTTTGRACACTTCCAATGATGGGGCATCCACAACATCTCTGGRCAAATTACTGTCTTTGTACAGATTTCTCAATTCCATGGAATTTTGACGGGGAAGCCAGGGTAGGAAGTTCCTGAACTAATTTGCTAAGTAGGCAAGCTGCAGAATCTTTTTTAATTCAATGAACAAATCAGTTTTGTCCTGATAAAAATACAAATCTTGAGCAAGGCCCTGAGCAGCAATTAGAAGATAAAAAGATCATTACTAAAAAGATGAGTAGGAAACTACAGCTCATGGGCAGYAATCCTTTGGTGTTCAGAGTGCAGTAAAACCAGAATGAGTTCTTCGAGTATGGCTTACTTCTAGGTGACTTGTATACTGCTTTTTAGTCAAAGTATACATTGTATTCCCATTTGTGACACTACCTGAAAATCACCATGCCTTAAGTAGTTTCATTGTGAGTTAAACTGTCTGATTAAATTTATGTTTTCTGCAGAATTTTTTCCCCAATRTTTTAATAACTAAATGTATCACTGTCATTTAATCTAGCAGCCTCTCTTTTTCTTGCACAAAACATTAAAGTTTTGGATCTTAAATCATTTAGAGTAACATTGTCAGATTGCTGAAATAGCAAAAAAAGCACTGTGTAAGTGCAATATTTGGCTAAAACTGTCAGCTTTAATCAGAAAACCCCTTCATTTGTTGTAATCAAATAAACACATGAACAAAAGTYATTCAGTAAAATTTTATGAAAGTGCTTTTGTTAGAAGCTTGAATAGAAATAGGGTTCCAAGTCTAAAGTGTTTGTTGGAATGGAGGACACTGGCGCAGCCTTTCTGTACAGTTCTGATAGCAAGGGAGCTGACTGATAGCAAAGGAGCTTTACATTGTATCAGGTGGCTTTTTGAATCACCTCTGATTACGTGAAGTATTTTTATCTTCTCCTACTTCTTCATTTTTAGTTTTTCAGGTCTTTTTTGTTTGGTTTTTTGTTTTGTTTTTTGCTTTTGTTTGTTTGGTTTTTTTTGTTTGTTTTTGTGGTGAGGCTGCTAAAAACATGAGGTGCTGCTGGGACTTGAATTATGTACCCTTTAAATCCTCCTTTTCTTGTTCATTTTATGGTGTCTGAGGAAGTTTGTACCAAAATGAAAATAGTTACAATTTCTTTGTGTRACAGAATCTCAGGAGTGATGCCAGAGAAGTTTGTAATGTCTCTTGCTACCAGCCAATATGAAAACTTCCTATTGGCTGACCCATRTATTTGACCCTTAAGGAAGATGTTGGTCCAGTCCAAATATTTACAAGGAAGAGTTTCTTGCAAGTGCAGCWTTTAGGCAGTTCTCAACTCGATGAGAAGGAAGCTCCAAGAAAAAAATGTTTTATCACTGCTGATCCAATGCATGGTTTCTTTTCTACCTCAGTTAAGCTAACCAGAAAGGAGTCRGTCTTTAGTGTATTCAAAGGGGAATGATTCTTCTGCTTTATTCAGTGTGAATCTTCCTCCCTAGGCCTTGCCAAAAATAGCACTCAGTTACAGTAGCATCAAGAGTGTGAAAATTTTAGCAGAATTGAAAAAAAACTTTCTGGCATTTGTTGTAAGTATAAATTCCATGTGCAGAAGAACTAAATTGGGAAACTTAGAGGCAATTTTTACAATTTGTTCAGGATTTTTGTTTATTTAATGTCTTGAGACTTTTGGGTGAAATTTCACATCATATACTCTCAAAATAGAACGTGATAGAATCTGTGTAATTTTCTGTTTGTTGCTCTGTCCCCATAGGAAATCTTCATAGTTGCAGGATTTAAGGTGATAAAATTGCCTGAAGTGACAGAGGATGGTAGACATGGTTGTCAGTTGGAAGTGTCTGAAGAAGCTGGATCAGCCATTTATGTATGTGGTTACCCAAGTTGTTGTTTTTTTCCTTTAATGTCCAAAATAGTTACATTAACATTTTGCATTACAGTAGAAAAAAAAACAATACAATCTATTTGAAACTGAAAAGCTACAGATTATTTTACCTTGTTCATCAGACATGTTTGTGTCTGGGTGCACATGTAGTTTTATAATAACCCAAACCAGATTATTTCTCAGGTAAATTTCTACTTTTTAAGTGCAGGAATTTGACTTTACTTTGACTTTAGATAGATTCCTAGGGCTGTTTAAACTACTCTTGTGCATAACACATTTCAATAATGCGGACAAGATAGAAAGTGCAAGAGTGATTTCAGGTCTCTAATTTCCAGTTTTCTCTGGGCTATGAATTAGTGCTGCTTTAACTCAAATCATTAGTTGTTGCCTTTCAAATATATGGATTGCTATAATCTAAATTTTATAAAGAGAATTGTACCCTTTTGTCCTAAGTAAAATATTTGTTCTTTTGTACTGTTCTCACATCAGTGCTGTTTATTTTTTATCTGTATAGTTGTTGTCTAATTAAGTCCTAAATTTAAGAATTTTTTTTTTAAATTTCAGAAAGGCTCTTTTGTTTTGAAATTTACCTCTGTAGGTAACTAAAACTTGGCACACTGCTCAGTGAGAAACAAAATTGTTCAAAATGATAGGGCAGACTGTTTCATGACATCTATTATCCATTGATGATGATGATCTRTAGGTAGAAAGAGTATGTTACAATGAATATCATAGATAGCAAAACTGTGCCCTGAGTCTGCACAGGTGCCTCTAAWCTAAAAGTGCCTACATTTTGGGAACTACATGAGGCCTTCAGCTGAGCATTGGCAAGACCTCATGGCATMCAGTCTAATCCCAAAGACACTGGGCAGCTCAGTGAGTGCCTAGGTAGTGCTGAGGTATTTATATCATTATCGATCCCAGAATGGAGCTCGTGGCACTTTGTTTACTGACACATACTTTGGATGCTTAATACAAATGGGCAGACTGTGTGTGTTTYACTTTCTCAGTCATAACTTTTCACTGGCTGGTTAAAAATAAAATTAGCTTCAGGAATGCAGGTGAGGTGAAGAGCAAAAGCAGATCCCCAGCAGGAGTGTGCAGTGCTGAGGCAGTGCAGAGCTGTGATGTGGGGCSRTGTCAGAGCCWGSCTGGGCTGKGGCCKTGGGATGGCAGCTGAGCCCTGCTTCCGTCACAGAGAGAGAGGGGGAGTGTTGGCTTTTCATCAAATCACCACGAGTAGTTCTTTAAAATGCCTTATGCTGAAAATAAGTCTGGCTTATAAGTAAGGCTCAGAAAGCTTAGGAATTATCTTAGATAAAATTTATCCCATTCTGGTGAATTTGCCCTGATTTGTTTTTTTTTTTTTCCCCAAAGGAAAGTAACAAGTCAYTGAGAATAGATCTGCCTGCTTTAAGCATTGAGATGTATGAAACCTAAACCCCTTTAAGCCCTATGTTAAGCAGGGGCAGTTTTAAATTTGTGGCCTCCAACTTTTGAACACTGCTCTATTAATGTGACCCAGCATATTCAACTAGGTGACTTTAGAAAATGTGTGTATTATTTTGAAGAAGCTTTTGGTTGAGTGTAATTGAGTAAATATTATTTTGTTTTCTGTAGCTAAAATTTTACTAGATTCAGAGGCAATTCATGTAGAAAAAAATGTCTGTAGGGCTACTGTAATATCTCTTTGTACCACTGTATTTGCTTTGAAATTATCAAATGTTATTATATTTGCAGTACCTTCAATGTTGTAATCACAGAGTTTGTTTTTTTTTTTTTCTCCACAGATTTATACTCAACCAGGAGCAACTGCTGCTTCAGAAACTGCATCGGCGGTGAGTTTGCATTTGGGATATTTTAAAATCACGTGAGGTGAACTGCATGTGAATGAGAATGTATGGAATAAATTTTTTGTTCCTGGTTAATTTACTTCCATACTCTTGTCCCAGCAGTCATTTAGCTTTTACTTTTGCAAATAATATACCTGGAACACAAAATAAAATATCAAAAAAGTTTTCTATACTTGTAGTATAGTTCCCATCTTGATCTCCAAACCGACTTCATGTTTAGGAAATTTGAACTAGAAAGGTAACTATTGGTCTAACCAAGATTGTATGCTTCTGCTGTAAAAAAAAGGAAATATGAAACTTCTTTTGATTTAAAATCAGACTTCAGGTATTGGTCTTAACATTGTTTTGATTACTGTCTGGAACAAGCCTTTATGTGTCTAAATTAAAATTCTACAGGAAATAGTATATTAAAGTCACTCATTTGTGAAGTTTTAATGTTCTTTATAAAGACATTAAAGATTCAGTACAAATGGTGATAGAGCTTATTTTCATATTATTTTTATATGGAGTTTCATTTTTTCAGTATACGAAAACCACAGTTATCAGTGTTTGACAGAATTTGTATTTTTTTAAAACAATCTAATCAGCATATATTGCAACCTTAAGATGAAAGGACAATAGTAAAAAGTAGTCCTTAATTTCTTTAATCCTCCAGCAACTGAGGTATTTTAATTGAAAGATGTGCACAGAGCCTGTGAGAGGTAACCCCCTGCCTTGCCAGCTGAAGACAATGATTCTGTGCAATGACACTGCCAAGCAGAAATACAGAGCTATTTATTTGTGTGCTTTAAAAAGTCCACTGGATGGACATGTTAAAAGGGATCAGTAAAAAATTTTCTTTCACTGTTTTTTATTGTACTGACTTTTACTCACCTAGTTCTTCTATTGAAGCTTACTTGAGCTAACTAGTTGGCTTATTGTTAGGAAGATTCAATCACAAAAGAAATTAAATTCTTGTGTGCTTTCTGAATCCAGAGTGAATAAGATATAAAGAAATAGATAATCTTTATTTCTTTTTTAAAGATAAAATAAACATGTCTGAAGATAAATTATGCTAAACCACAAAATTCTATATGAATTTTTGGATAATTTTTTCTTCTGTTCCCTCATTTTATCATCCCTTTTCAGTCTATTGTGCCAAAATATGTGTACACTCCCCTGAATCATCTTAAAGATGGAACTATAGTGAACTTCTATGGCGTTGTGAAGTTCTTCAAGCCTCCTTATGTTAGCAAAGGAACTGGTATGTACTATATTCAAGAGATGTGAAATCTCCTCCAGACACAACTTTCTTACTATGTTTGTTAAAAATCAAAGCAACAAATTCACATGATTCTTTGACTATAGCTTTGACCAGGTAATACCAAGGAAACAGAACAAAAAGGTAAGAGATATCAGTCAGTTTAGRTGACTGGTGGAGGCAGCAAATGAAGAAAGTTCTTAAAGGAGGTTTATCATTTTTCCAGCTACTTTAACAAGACTTTGGGGTACTGACGACTCGGAATATCTTAATTAGACAAACCGTGATTGTGGAAATCATTAGGGCAGCCATTCTTTCCAGGTACATAAAAACAGTGAAGTTAAATGCACTAACTTGGAAAGTAGCATGTCTCTGCATGTCTCTGAAGTGGCCAGAACAGATTTTGTTTTTTCAACTGAGTAATTTAATAAATTAATTACTTCAATTTCATAAAAAGTAGAAGTTTAATAGGGAATATGATTATTTATTTAAGAACTAGTCCTTGCCTAAATGTCATTAATAACTTCCTAATATGTCTTCCCTGTGTAAATTCAGTTGGTATTATTGAAATAACACCACAGTATCCATGGAGAACAGGAACACACTTTGATGTTTCTTATTTATTAAGATAGTTGTGATTCACTTGCTATTTTATAATGAAAATCTTTAAAGCAGTTTTAATTAATTTGGGGTTTTGAGCAAAATTATTTACTAACCAGTCAAATATTTCAATGTTGTTTTTTGATTTTTTTTTTTTTTTTTTTTTTGCACAATCCAGAGTGATGTCTGCTCGAGAGGGTGCAAAATAGTCAGTGATTGTTTTGCATTGTCAGGGCATGAAATGGTTCTTGCCAGAAAATTCTGTGGTTGCGTTGGATCTGGCCCAATACTTCAGTTAGACATTCTCTGTCTGACATTGTGTAAATAGAGTTGTGTAGCTTTAAGCTGATGCCCACTGGAAACATGGAAAGTGGGGCCACTGTACTTAWTCCACATGGGTCTTTATTCTCTATATACATATGTCCTGAGGTATAAGATGCTGCTCTTTCTTACAYGTATTAAGGCTTAAGACTGAGGCTTTGCATTGTGTTCCCACTGAAAGTGGGTACCACCAGAGTGGTACCTAATTTAGTCTCTTCAGTTTATATAATTTATAATTCAAAGTTTATAATTTCTATTACCATTATTGTATTAGGTGAGTGCTAAAACAATAATGAATTAAATAAGTTTTCAGTATGTTCATAAATTATTTATTCCAGAGAAAGCTGTTTTAGCTAAGCATGCTTTTGTTCAAGGCCTATAGTTTGTAAAGTTCTCATCTATCGACATTTCAAATTCTGAAAACTGTTCAAGGAGGTACTTCAAATCTTGCTTGGTATGAGAGATGGGGATTTTGTCTGCTAGAAGATCAGTTGGAAGTATTTGAAACTGTATTCTAACTGTCCTTCCCCAATAGTTTAAGAGTCTTAAATACAAARGTGATATTCTCGTGTCTCAGCTCCCTTAATCCCAAGGATATATCACATATGTAGCCTTGAGATKTAAAAAAAAAAWTAGAAAGTAAAAAAGAAAAGTTACATAGAGGAAAAAAGAGCCTCTCTCTTTGCAGTGTCCAATTASAGAGATTATATGCTTGACCATGAAAGTTTTAGGACATTGCAGCTTGACACTACTGTTTCCCCAACCCCTTTTTTTTCAGATGAGTCACTGTTTTCCATAACGCAGGGAAGAATGCAAGAAAAATCCTTGCTGCTGGTTAACAATGTCATAGAATTAATGTCCTGTTTTCCTGTGGAAACCTCCATCTAGCATGTTATCATAGATATATGCAGTATATTTGTATGTCACATATTGAATTAAAATTTGATTTTATCCTACCTAGACATGCATGTAGATTGTAACTTTGTATTTTAAACTTCTATTTTATTTTTATGAAATATTTTTTTAGAATCAAAATTAATAAAGGATAGCAGTTTCAGAAAATACATTTTTGTAAAGCTTGACCACTTCCAGGTCAACAGTTCTACATGCCCAAAATGCAGTCTAATAATCATAAATCAGATTCTTAACGTGTTTTGAAGCCCTGAGTTTTATTTTTATTTTCCATTTTTGTTTGATCTTGAGCCAAGTTCATCAAACAGCCCAGAATTTGTTTGAAACTATGTAGCTGAGAAAAAGAACTCGGCTTTAAACTATTCCATTTGGTCAGCTTGAGCTACAATAGTCAATTTTTAGTAAGTAGTAGCAAACCAACTTTGAGTGCAAAGGAAACCCATCACAGAATGTTGTGGTATCCATTTGTGAGGAAGCAGACTCAGTTAAATCTGCAGTAATTTTTCCTTAAAAATACCATGTTCCATTTTGGGTTTTTGTTCCAAATCAAAATATTGAGGATTTATTTAAATTTTGCAGAACAGAATTTAAAAATAACTGTTGCAGAGGTAAAGACAGTGATTTCATTTTTGGACCCCTAGAGACTAGAATAATATTCTTTTCCCTTTTGTTAACAGTGGTTTGTATGCATTTCTTTTTCAAATAACCACTGTTTCTTATCTTAAAGTATAGAAGATAAAGATAAGATGTTCAAAGGAAATTTAAAAAAAATAGTTGAATAGTTAATAGAAATCTCAAGATGGTTACTTTGATCTACAATTCACAAATGGTGGCATTGAAGCATCTGTTTAACCAGATGCTGCTGGTAGTTACTAAATTGTTTGTGTCTCCAAAGTATATCACAATGTTAGAAAAACAAGCTCTAGTAAAGCAGTTTGATTCTTTAAAGATTTTGTTTTGGGTTTCTGCAATATTTGTTTGGATGTACATATATATACACACATGCATAGGAGTGTGTGTTCATTTCTGTTATTTTTCTTCCTGTCTTGTTGAAATGTAAATGGTAAATTAGCAGGTTCAGCTGCTTGGTGTTASTGCAGACACTTGTGTATTGAATGGCCTCAGTAATTCTTGAAAACAACATTAATGTTTCATTTCATTTTGAAGAGAGAATAATTTGCTACAATAATCCTTCTTTTTTTCTGAGCATTGAAATAAAAGAAACAGAAGGCAATCTTTAATTAGAGTCTCTGACTGCTAACAACATTGCCAAAAACCTTTTTATCTCTTTGAAGGAGGAATTGGTTCAGGATAGTGGGTTTTGCACCTAAATGTTATTGAAGAATACATATGATTGCCCAAAAGGGGATGTGTAATTAGATTACTGTTTTCCACCTGAAAAATTTATACAAGTGTATTTGTCAGGTACTGCTGAGTTCCTTAGTAAAACCAAAATAAATGTTTAACCAGTAAATAYTAAACAACTTGTTAGTCCTATAGTGTCAATGGCTGGAATCTGGAAAGCTTTTTGTAGCAATTCTGTTTTTTTTAGGATGACTGAAAAGTGAATTTGTATGTGAATCTGTGGGGTTTGGGGGTTTTGTGTTTGTTTTTTTATCTACCTGYGCACACTGTGGAGAAATGCTGACTTACTGCTCATGCTAATGACTGGCATAACAGTCCCTAAAAGGTTGGAAATGCTAAAACATTATGAAAGGAAAGCTGTAACCTGAAGAATGARCCTAGACTGTCATGATAGTGGAGGCAACTTTATATTTTCAGTCACTGTTACAGGGTTGCAGGAGATTGATATTTCAAACCGGTTTAAGTCGGGACCTGGAAGGTTGACAATCAAGGTTCTCCAAGCAGATAGGGTAACCTTCTACTGATTACCAAATAGTTGTGGGTTTTTTATGAAATGAAATAACTCATTAACAAGTTACACCAGTTGTATTTTTAAAAAGCAATAATTACTAGTCTAAAGAATAGAAAAAGCGTGCAAGACACATGCAGACCATCACTCTGTACTTTCATTTAAATTAAACATCAGTTGTGTCTCCTTGTTTTCATGAACACCAATTCTGTCTTACAAGCATCCTTACAAGTAGCTGTCTGTGGCGGGTGGTCCCTCACATGATATTAAACCTGAGTGAGAATACTGCTTCATGATAATTAAATATGTTTATAAAGAGGTAGGTGCAGTTTGAAGTTCTGTGTAGTGTCAACCAAAATTCACTGCTTTTACTGAGAAAATCTAGTATGAAAGTAAAAAGCTTTCTTCTATAGCATATAAATTTACTGATCTGAGCACCCATTGTGTCATATTTTTAAGACTGATTATTACAAGTGAAATCTACCAGTGGTAAAAATTCTCTTTTAAAGAAAATGAATGGATTTCCTTAATCAGTGGATTGCATTTCTCCAGTAAAGGAAAATTGATTCCAAGTTGTAACTTCCATTATTTATTTGTTTATTAGCTTAGTAATGAAGGGATTTTGCTTTGTTGGAAAGTATATTGAGAAAAGTCAAAAGTGTGACCAATGATATTATATTRTTTTGTTTAACACTGGGACATTATTTAAATTCAGCAATTCTGTTTGGAGTTTGACTCACTGTTTTTTCAGAAAAATAAATTCATTCAGTGATCTGTATTGCTACTGTGGAAAACAAAACAATTTTCACATTTCAGCTGGAAATGACAGATGGCTTTTTATTTTTAAACTTCAAAAAGGACTTTGCTGAATGAGAATTTCATTTAAAAGCATCAGTCGTTATGTTTTGTTCTAAAAGACCTCTATTTTAATTAGATTTATTGTAGAAGTGATGTTTTGAGGTGATAGTGAGGAATAGAAAACTAAAATCACAGAGACAGAGAACCTATATTATGTAGAAAGTGTTTCCTGGCCATGTAAAGCAAGTGTAATATTTTATGCTGCTTTGACTAGGATGATTATCAGTCGTACTTGATTATGCTAATTACATAGAAAATTGAGGCASTGTCTTAACTTCTGCCATTAAATAGGCAGCTGCACATGTATGAAGCTGACTAGGTTGTATAATCACAGCATCAGAGAGTAACCACAGTTTTAATGTGGAATGTTTTTTGCTATTTCCTCTTGATTCTGATGTTGGATTATATCAGTGCATTGTAGCATGTTATTCTGTGTCCCCAAAGGATTGTAAATCTATGAGCCATATGGATTTTTCTGCTTAATTGCTCATTTTGCTCATAYTTGGAACAGATCTGTTAAGTTAACCTCTAGAATTCATACCCAAAGAAACACATCGATGAGTCCTTCGATCGCAGTCGTAAATACGTGCAGTTTTGTCAGCCAGTGACTGGAGYTTATTTGTGACATTCCCAGCATAGAATGTCAAAATAGGCTCTATGTGGACCTTGTGCCATTGATGGGAGTTTGCAAAAGAGTGATCTCAGCAGCTTCTGAATGCAGAAGATGATAATTTCTCATTATTCAGTCTGTGTAAAAATCTTGGGAAGGAACAACAGTACTAGTTTTTGTAGAAATACGGAAGCTTTTTATACCCATAAGAAAAGTTTTATTTCTTGGTAAGCCTTAAGTGGATTTCTTTCACCACTTCCTTCATTCAAATCATTAGGGAATTCAAACTTTAAATGATAGTAAAATTTAAGGATGTGTGTGCTGGAAATGGAAGAATATTTCTTCTGAAGCATGCATTTTAATCCAGGCTTACGCACCTGTCTTCACATTAGGGAAATCTATTCACTGAGTTTACGTATCACAATCGTCCTTTTTTTACTTCATCCTTTAGCTTTTTTTATATAAGGCAAATCTGTCAGTTTTACTAGACTAATAGCATTTTGTTTCAAAGCTGTCTATCATTGTCTCATGTGTCTGCATCTTTATAACATGCATGATGGAGATTTTATTGACTTTGTTTTAGAACTATGGCACCTTTGTTCAGTTCCCAGATAGTAAAGTCTCTTTAGTGTCATTATCACTAATTGCCTCATAGAATTATAGCTAAGGAAAGCTGGGGCTTTTGATCATATAGATTTTTTTTTCTCTTCTGTTTGGGTTGTTCTATTTTTAAGAGATGAAAAGTTGTCTGTCAGGGCAAAACAGATATCATTTGGGGAATTTATTTCATTGCCAGTTAACATAAAGATCTAATAACTTGTTCACATATTGAGAAACAAAGAAAAGAAACATTTGAACACTTAGGGAGAGCACCTTTCCTCCRCCTTTCTGAGACTCAGCCTCACTCCAGTCAGCTCTCCTTCCTCCTTCCTAGTCTCTATTCCATGGCGATGGTTYCAAGTTACCTTGTGTCTCATGGAGGGACAATAGGTGGTGCAGGAAATTGGGGTCAGGATGCTGTTTGGCTTCTCAGGCAGAGTAGCCRCTACCCTGTTGTGAAAGACCGAATGTGCCTTTTCTCCATTTGTGAGACCTCAGAGCTTCTGTAAGCTGAAATGGAAAATGCGGGTTTTGTTCATGTCATCTGCAAGTACTGCTCTATTCTGGGCTGGTCTCCATTGTCATCTTTGTATGTTGTTTCGATTTTACTTTTTAGATCCTTAATAGAAGTGAAATTCTATGAAGTTTAACTTCAAAAGGGCATTTTTCATATTTTTACTTTCTATCTACCACTGTTGGACTCTATTCTTTATACATATAAATCATATCTATCTTGTGTATTTTGTTGAAGTGAAGGATGTATAAATKATACTTTAATTTGGCTTAAGAGCTTGAAGAAATCATTACCTTTTCAGAAGGCCATGTAAAATAAGTTTTAGAAAATTATTTTGTAAAATTGTACATATGCTGCTCATTTTATAGAGCAAGTAATTGCAACCTGAAAGAATAGCATGCCTGATGCAGACAGAMGAAAAAGGATTGTGTGTTCTTGCTCACAGAGCTGTGCTTAATCACACATTTAATTTTCAGTTATTTGGGCTAATTATTGGCAAGATGGGCCACATTTCAATTGTTATGATACTGTAAAAAAATTAATTTTGAGAGAGTTACACAGATCATAGCAGAAGAAATTGGCCACAGGGGTGTTCCTCTCAAATTTAGTATCTCTATTAATAATTCCATAGTGCCTATTACTCATTCAGACACTTTTATATTTTACAGATTATTGCTCAGTTGTAACACTTGTGGACCCATCAGAAGTGAAGTTAACGTGCACTCTTTTTAATGGAAATCTAGATTCTCTACCAAAAATTTACAAAGTTGGAGATATTGTTCGATTTCATAGAATAAAGGTATGTACCAGGATGGAGGCGGGGGGGTTGGGGTTTATGTCCTTGCTTTTCTGCAATGAGAGGACCATAGGAATAATTTAGTTCTACAGAAATTAACATTTGGAGACATTGGATAAAGCAGCAGATTGTTAAAACAGGTATGGTTATGGTATGGACCACAACTGAAAGTTAACTATGCCATTTTTTTCAGCAACAATAATATTTATTAAACTACTTGCCAAAAATAATGTGGTACTGCTAGATTAATAGAGTAGGCATAAACCTGCACCATTTATTCCTCTTCAAACTGATAGGGATTGAGGAGTTTCTTTAGGTCTTCTGTTGTGGAACAGTTTAGGTCAGCTGGAGAGTAACTCCAGTAAAGGGAATCCATCTGGGCTTGTTAGTGTGCAGTGTGCTTCAGCTGCTGCTTCAGTGTTTTCCAGCCTTCCTCCCTATTCCTCTCAGTCAAAGGGCATGCAGGAAACTGTTTATAAATTTGATACTGCTTCTGCTGGATGTTTTTCTGGTGCTGCTGCAGCTGTATGGGGAAGAGGAACCACCCTACAGGGTGTGAATGGAAGTCTAGTAATGCTGGAATATACTTAAAGAGCTGCATAGTAAGACCAAATGTGTGATTTTACCATGTTTTGCATATTAATATGCCACATGGCCATACATAATTATACATTTACTTTTCCRTAAAATAATTACAGCAGATATTAATAAATGTCATGAAAGAGTCCAGTGGGGGAAAAAGCCAACCAAACCACCAGTTTGCATATTTGGACATTTGTGAGAGATCTAGGAAATTTAAGACTRTACAAAAGGATGATAAAAGGGATAAATATCTTTAGTACTAACCATGTACATTTTGATATGCTGTAGCAGGAGAGCAAAGAAGAAAACCCCATGACAATAAATGTAAAAAGTGGTAAGGTTTATTCAGTATTTGAGTTTTATACGACTGAAGTCGTTAAGAAAAAGCTTGTTAAGATTCAGAAAGAATCTTCAGTTACTCCTCTATGTTATAAGTACAATTGAGAGAGAAATTAGCTAACCTATTCTGAATTAGTATAAAGTTTCTTTAGGATCATCTGTATATATAATAAGAGTAGAATTAAACTGTATTTATATTTTGAAGCTTGTGTTGCTGATCAGTACTTGAAATGTGTGATTAGTTTTGGAAGTTCATGAATTTCACTTCAGATGGGAGAATTTTATGCTAAATTTTAATATTTTCTCTGAGTCAAGGTGAGCGTTATATGGTTACACTCATTTCAGAAATTCAATGGAGATAAAAACCTTATTGCTTCTGAAAACAGAGTGCATTTTATAATACATATGTGAAAAAGGAGAAAATAGAAAGGAGCTGGTCAAAATAGAAGAACTGAAAAGTTGCATGGCTGTGGAAGGTCAATATTGGATTTTTAAGTGCACATTAAGAAAACAAACAAGACCACTGTCAGGAAATTTATGTATGCACTCTCTTTTATGGGAAAATAGTATTGTCTCACTTCCTCTATTTATCACAAACTTAAGGACATCTGATGTGGGACAGGTCAGGGACCTCACCATTCTGATTTGGCATCACTTTTTTGAAGAGATCGTTCTGGACTTCTTGTTAGTTGGTACTTCATCATTCTCCAAGATGATGTTGCAGTATTTAAAGATACGGTCTTTTAATTCACCTCTCATGCACAGTTCCTTTTTCATCAAAAGATTGAGCTGTTCTAAGTGGTTTCCCGTCCTAACAGACCTCCAGATCCTCACAGTCTTATGTCTCTTCAGATGCATGAGCTGAGAGCTTGTTCAATTACTTTCTAACTTGAAATGATGTAGCGTCACTAAGGTGTCTTTTCCTGGATGGTAATGTTCTGACTACCCCAGACTAAGAAACAGGTACTTTGGAAGTTTTCATATTTGATCTGAGCAGGTGGAAATCTGACACAAAAGCCTGGTGCCAGCTTCTGGGAATGAGCTGGGAGGGAGAGGAACTGTTTCTCTTTCAGCCACAACCAGCATAGTAGGTATGATTTAAAAAAAAATCAACACTAATTAGATTTCTAATTGCACTTTCTACAGTTACTCCTTCACTTTTTTCTGCTTTTATCTTCAGCCTTAATCACCTTCTCTTAGTTTACTGACTGAAAAGCCATCATGGGTAGCAAAGGCCATAGTCAGTCAAAGTAGTGTTTACCAGTGAGACAGATACATATATATAGTCCTTAAAACATGTGTTCACATTCTGTCTGCCCCAGATACGCTTTCAGGGGGCTTCCAGGAAGTTGGCATTGATAGCAAGCAMATTTTTAAAATTCCTGCTCCCAGTTACACTGTTGGCTACTAATGGATAACTTCCCCTCATAGTAACAGAGGTGTTGGCAAGATCTAATGGTCAGAGCTAATAAGAACTTAATGAAGAGGATTCTCTTGAATCCTCAATCTCTGAGTAGAGAGTGATTTMGTTTGCTTACTATTTGTTGCGGAGAAATAAAGATTTAAGTGTCTTGGTAACAACTGAAAAATTACCTAGTTTTAATTACAATTCTGTTAATATTTCTTGAAATGCATCTTTGTGCATGTCATTTTATGATGATTTCTCATGAATTACAGAATTTAGTGATTTGCCCTACTGTACCTGGGCTTTTGGCCAGAATCAGTGCTCTGCAGAGATTGTGGAGGATGAACCCTCCATCTCCCAATATATAAGCCAGGCCTGTGATCTATTTGTCTAGTCTATCTTCATGACAAAAGAGGAGTTTTTGTAGGTGGATTTTTCTTGGAACTTCTTTTTTATTGYTCACTGTGGATGTTCTTAATGTCTTAGAATTGGTGTCTAATGGTTACTCTGTTAAAGAGAGGGAAGACGCAACCTGCTGGTACTGGCTAAACCTGTAATGTTTTATCCTCACTTGACTCAGGAGTTTTGGCTTGTATTCTGCCTTTCTTTCAATGCGCAAACTCTGCCACGATGATAGAATTGTTAATTTCCTCATTGGCTTTTCTCTTGTATTCCTTATTACCTCTGAGTGAGTCACAAATAAGAACTTATTTCCTCACTCCCAGTGAAGTGAATTGGTATTTGATTTCCCTTTAAGTGTTTGAGAATTGGAGAAAGGTGAAGCACATTCTTATTTCAGTGTTCATCTTATTCAGTGTACSCTAGTTGTTTAATGCAGTTCGGGATGTGTTGGTGGGTCTTTTTCCCAAATACAAGGCATTAGAGAGCTGTGTGCAACACTTGATGAATGAAGACCAAGAGAGGGACCCTAAACCATACTTGTATGGCTTCCTTGGCATAATASAAACTCTGTAGCAATTACAAAGGCTTAGCTTTTTACTTTTGTCATAGTAATCTTGATACTGTTCTTCTCTCTTACTTTCATTAACCTTAATCTCTTCTGTACATAGGCTCCAGTTGCTGTAACAAATGAAGTAGGAATTGTAAAGTTGCCAGCCCCTTTCTTAGCACTTTCATCACCACTTCATCCTTAAGTTCATGCATTGTGTAGAAAAATAATGTACTGAGGGTARTGGAACAAGTATCATACCATAAATKCACCATGAGCTGAACTGAGTTTGCACAGACGTCAGTAATTGTGTCATCCACTAACCTTAGGATAATTATGCATTATAATCCTGTTGTTTGGGCTTTGTGGTTGGATCACAGAATCAGAGAATCATTAAGCTTGAAAATTGCTTCCAAGATCAAGTCCAACCTTTGACCAAACACCATCATRCCTAATGCAGCATCCTAGATCTTTAGAATAAGAAGATGGAGAAAAACATGAGGAAGATCCTTGCATGCTATTAATTCCATAGTCGTCTGATTCAAACTCTTTAGATTTACAATGTAAAAGCATTTGAGCAAAAGCAAAAGGATTTCATATCCATGATACAGATGGTTATTCCTTTCATAAATCTGTAGATTGAAAGTATAAGATGTATATTTTGCTAGTGAGTTTCTAAGGTGTTTGTCCATCCACAGAGGAGTGGGCATCTGAATGTCAAATATATGGAGCATGGCTTCATAACAATAGAGAAGCATCACACTCCCTTTTTTATTATCCTGAGTAGTTCTTTCTGTCTCTTCTTGTGCATCACTCTCCTAAACCCAATAATACTTACCATAGCATTCATTCCACTTGTTACTTGCTTTAATCTTTGAAACTAATCTGCATTATTTCAATAAGCAATCTTACTTTTGCCCTTAGCTAGTAGTTTCCTTGTCTCTTTGTGTTCCCTTCTTTAGTTTAATCCAATTTGTCCAATGAAGGTTGATTTCTTTTCCTTCCTTTTCCTTGATGAAATATGGAAAGCACAGAGAGAAAGACACAGCGGAAGTATTTGCTCACTTCTTAACTCTGGGCAGCTCTAGGGATCGCTGTTGGGTTGATAAGGATCAGAGGGGAAAGTCTGCAGCTTAGATATCTAAAATACTGAATGAATATTAAATTTTGGCAGAATATAGCTCCYAGACTATTGTGTCTTCTGACTAAATGTGGACCAGTTGTATAAACTTGGCTAAAATTAAGTTTGAGACTTTCTGCTAAAAAAGATGTTGAAGAACATGTTGTCTGTTTCACTGCTACCCAGTTTTCAAGTTMTTTTTCTGAAGAGTGTAAGGAATTTAATATTTTTAGTAAGCAGTTAGGAGATTCTTTTTAATACTGAAARAAMCGTAWTTTTTTTCTCATAAATATCAGTATTARTATTGCTTTTGCCTCCCCTTCAAAAATTTTGTAAGTCATGCAACTCACTTTGAATGGAATTTAAATTAGAAACAAGTATTTGTCCTACAGTAAATAATGTCAGGAAATACTGACTGTAAGCAGTGGTAGAGTGTYTCTATAGTTTGAAGTCTTAGAGATTTGCACATTGTTTTCTGAAACTTTCATCTTAGTACTTTTGGTCAAGTTGCCGCATCATGTTTTAAATATGTAGAGAATGTTCCAAAACAGTAATTTTTTACTCTACTAGAATTTTCTTAAATTAAACTATGCCGCTTTCTTTGAGGACTATTTCTAAAACAGTGCCTGCTGGCTTTTTAAATTATTAAACCAGAAATTATTCCAAGTAGCTTAAGTATATATACTTTTGGCGTACGCCCAATTTTTTTTTTCCACAAAATAGTTACATCTTCATGTGAATTGAATTCATAAATCTACAATGTATTTCTCATTTTGTTCTTCAATTTGTATTTACATTGCTGAAGATGTTTCTGTGAATCTTATTTTGCAGACAAAAATTCTCAGAAATGCTAGAGAATAAGTTGTCATTTATGGTCCTAATATCTAGGTGTGTTTATCATGTCTTCAGAAAAATTCATTTTATTTCCCTATGACTGTCCTTGTTAACTTCCTTTTCAATGGTGCCTGCAAATAGTTTTGGTAGTTCACTTTTCTTCTTGTTATATTTAAACATATTTAGAATGGTTTAATTTATATTTGAAATGGTTTCTCTATTTCATTAGTATCTCTCTGTTCATACAGCTGGAGGTACAAGTAAACTAGGATTACATTATTAAAATATAAGAAAATATAATCAGCATCCTGTATTATCCAAATTTGTTTAGTCTATTTACTTAAGATGAGAAAACATTTACAAAACTTAAAGAAATACACCAGCTGCATTCTGGTGGATCTTTTTCTGACAGGATACTTTCCTTCATACAAATATCATCAGTGACAATAAAAAAATCTTCTTTCTTACTATAAAAACATGTACATTAGCTTGGTATATGTTGTTTCCCAAGGCATWTTTTGATATTGCAAGATGATCTGTGACTGCAGTGATTTCATAATAGTCCTTTGCTTCTATAATTTAACAATCAGTTTTGATGGAAAACTACCTTGGAGATGCWATTATTCCAGCTTTATACAGTACTTACTATCACCCTTTTCCATTTAGTGAGATGAATAACGCCATCTTCAGTAAAAAAAAAAAAATCATGTCTTCTACTTTGCTGTAAATCTATTTATAAATATTTCAAGATTAGCTTCTTTTCAATAGCCGTATTCAGGATAGTGTTGTACCTCAGAGAAATCACTAGAGTTTATTGTCTGTGTAGTTTGTTAAGGTGACATTTCACCTATTTTTCTCAAGTTTACAAAAACTATGCCAAAAACTCCTGTAATATGTATTGGAATTTGCTTGCTTGCTTAGAACAAGCCAAATGCATTTCATCTGCTCCATTTTTGTCCCAGAGGATACTTTTATTTAGCAACCATTATTTATAGAAATTATTTAAAATTCTGAGGGAATTTTAAAAGAGATCGCCATCTGCTCTACTTCCCTGTTCTCCCCCTCCTTCACCCTCCCATACCAATTTWAAAAAAAATATCTCCACATCTAGAAATGACACAAAATCTATTGAATTGTCATGTACAGAAGTCCCAGATTGACTCTCTTCTAAGTTTAATTTAATTTCAAAATAATTTGTTTGGAAAATACAGTGTTTACAGTATCAGTCCTTAACTTGATCTGAGATCTACTTAAGGGTGCCATAATAAAACAACATTTGTCCATAGATTTTGTTCATTTTGCACTCCAGTGATCCCYCATCACTTTAGCAATGATTTGTTTTTAAAGGACAAGCCCAGAGAATTTCTGTTGACCATCATCTGTTCTGTGATCTGACATAAGTAATTTTCCAGCTATGAAATATTTTATTCTGTTACCCATTCTACATTTTCTTATCCTGTTTCTTTCACAGTCAATAATAACGTTCAGTAAATAATATTGTTGAGTTCTGTTCAYCTTTGAGAGCACTCAGTGGCTTCTCCATTTGCCTATGCCCAAGAACATCTGGTTTTGCTTAAAGATCGACGGTAATTTTCTCATCATGACAGTTGAGTTTTACCTTGTAACTTACTTTATTTCTTTTTCAAATTTTGTTACTGCCTTTTCCTACATTAAGGCTRATTTCAAATTTACTAAGTGAGGGTACTAGTTACAGCATGTTTGAGGTTTGATGTAAAAGATTTGGGAAAAGAGAAAATAACTGAYGGAGAAATATGATGAGAGCCCAGGRAGACAAAGTAGTTTCTTGAACTGGTGAAAGGTTTAGAGCATTCACAGAAGACTAGGACAGAATTTTTAGTAAAAAAGAAATCAARATATTTTTGTGATGGTTTAAAAGAATTAGTGAAGAAATAAATGAATAGGTAAATTATTTGAGAAACATTTGACATGTCTGGCAAGATATGAACAATACTCTTGAGGTATATTTTGATATAGGATGAATATGTAAAAGTTATGAAAGGAGGTTTTTCTCCCTTCTGGACATTACCTGTTTAGAGAAGCTATGGAACATAATGCCTGTGACAGCAACTGAAGTAAATCTGTGTGTTTATATTAGATAATATCTTACCGTTGCAGGGGTACATTTTTTCCCAGATCATGGATAATGAGGTGCAAATTGATTATGAAAATGTATTTTTCTGATCTGTTTGTTGGCTTTTTTTTTGTATTTTCAATATTTAAACATAAATGTTGCCAGATTAAAACTTTTCAGTGTTTCACTGAAGAAAAACTACATCATGAATTGATGTGCTCCATTGGTCAGGTCTGGAGAATGCTTAAGTAAATCAAAGATTATCTTAGACATGACCCTTAATGCCTTTATGCACTATGTCAAAATAGCATTAAAGAAGTTTCTGTCACCAGGATTGAACAGCTTACTTTATCAATTTCTAAAGTCAATGAATGCTTGAGTTGAGCACTTTTAAAATTTCACTGTGCTAATAAAATACAGGCCTAAATCATTTGCAGTGTTTTGCTGTTTAGAACTTTTGACACACATTTCTTTTTCTGTACTTTGAAATCAGTAGGATTTTGAACCATTTAAAAATAGAGCTCCTGTACTGGACTGTCTTAGAAATGCTATATTCATGAATGTTATCACTTATTTGGGAGCCAGACATTAATTAAAAAGGGATGGATCAAAACAGGGATGGATAATGAGTCATGCAGTGCTTTGATATAGATACACTTATAAAGTGCAGGGAACAGTAAGACTAGACTAAATTCTTGAGGGAGTGCTTCATACTTTAAATACTGTGTTTTRTATGGCAGCAGATACATAGCTAAATCAGCAGGATTCAGGAGACCTGCTATGTGCAGGGCAATAGACAYTGAGTAATTGTGAAAGCTGTATTCATAATTCAAGGAATGAAAACTCATCAGTGTTTGCTTTATGGAAAAAAAAGTACCTCCTTGAACTGATATTTTCTTTCTCAGTTCCATAACATTGGGAAACAGGGCTATTGTGAGGGGCTAAAACCAGCAATCTGTAACAACTTTGCTCTGTTATCACTCTGCTGTGTAATCCCTAAAAAATAATTTCTCTTGTGCCTTAGTTTCCCAGTTTATAAGAGCAATTCTGATGTGTACCCTGCACAACTATTTTAATGTGTGTGAATAAAATGCTCTGCAAAGGTGCTGTATATTTACAGGTAGATGTTAGTCTGCCTCTGCAAAAAAATTTTGGGTTAGAGTGTATTTTCTGCTTATACATTTTGTTTGCTCATGATTTTTATCTTTTTGGTTTGTTTTTATTTCAACTCTSTTCTCCCAGTAGAAGCAGCAACAGAAATGATCAGTGGTCTATTTTTCATGCACATGATAAAGCAGAAATATATTTGTATTTTGACACTGTGCAAACTTTTTTTTCTCGTAATTTTTCATTACAGATCAGGAAATACAATGGACAGATGCAGGGAGTTACCAGTGCAGGATTTTCATCCTTAACATTTGATGGAACTGTAGGAGCTCCAGTAGTTCCTCGAACTTCCAGCAAAGTGTACACTTTCATGGATGAAGAACAGAAAACAATAGAAGAATTACGTCTTTGGGCAGCCAGTAATATTTCCACCTCTGAACCAGCAGCAAAATTGTCTGGTGTTCAGCCAATGGTGTTCTTTGATCTCACTTGCCAGCTGGTAGGAAAAGCAAAAGTGGATGGATCTTCTTTTCTTCTAAAGGTAGACTTTTTAAAATGATTTGTTAAATGTATTAAGACATTGTGATACATTTTTCAATAAAACAGACTTTTTAAAATTTAAATAATGTTATGTAGATAAGTATTTTGATTGTAAGCAAATGTGTGATCTTTGGCCATTTTGTTTGTATGAAAGCAAAATGGAAAGCCCAAGTACTGTTTGAAATTGACCACCTGATTTGGTTTTTTAGAGAGATTTATAAGATGGAAATGTATGGTTCATTTTTTCACAAAGATTTGTAGATAAATACTGCAAGATTTCTTAACCTTGAACTTTATCCTCATTTTTTTAATTAACAGCATTTCCTGCTTGTTTTTCTAGATTTGAATATAGATATGATTAATCAGTAAGTAATCAGTAGTAATCTTTCTAGACAGGAAGTAGCACTGTCTAGAAAGAGTGAATGGATTATGTTATCATGATGAATCAGGTGGCTTCTTTTAGTTACACATAAACACTTTGGGCATCGGTGCTCACTGAAAATAGAAAATGCAAATTGCCACAAAACAGTAGAATAATTTCTAAAGGTGATCCTTAACATTAGCTAAATAAAAAGGTGATGTCACGGACATTCCTAGKTTTAGCTCACATGTATCAGTCTGGTGTAAAACTCCACTGTATTTATTTTTAACTTGATTGTTAAAACATGAGTAATGATCACGTTGTTATTTTCCTCCTTATGACTTTATCTACTGTGCTAAACTGTATTGTTATAACAGTTTTAGAAATAGCACTTGGCATTATTACTTCATTCAAGCAGCAAAGGTTTTTTCTGTACAGAGCAATGCACCACTACACAGAAAAAAACCTTACGTGCATGCTGTAACATATCCTGCAACTCCTACAAACGTTTCCATTTAATTATCTCTTATGAAATAGATGTCAAATGAGACCTAGTAAAATTTCAGAATGTTGTGGGCAGTAATTAAGTTGTTCATTAATAAGTTTATCTTCAGCATTTAAGGACCCTTTGGAATGACAGAAACAAGTGCTTTCTTAAATTGTTAATATTTCTTTACATGCTTTTTTGTTTTGTTAGATCTGAAATYAATTTGGTCACTTTTGTATAGTAAAGGTAATGACTTGGGGAAATCTTAGGATAGACTTAGGAAGGTAAAAGTTTGAAGTCAAATAATGGTTTTTGATATGTAATTCTTTCGACAGTATATATTTTTTGACATAAAATATTAAATACGTAAATAAGTATTACAATACACCAGACAAGCTTAAAAATGCGACATTAACATTCTGTTCCTGATTTCCTCCGATTCTCAACCATGGYAAAATCCATGTCTAATATCAAATATTGGTCATGATAGAAAAGAAGCCTTTCTAAAAACTTGTATACAGATCTCTGATTATTTTCTTTATTTGCTAAACAAGAAAAAAATCAAATAAAACAATCAATTCAAAACCAGGTCAAATGGAGTGATCATTAAAAGTTATTTTATTGTTATATGCATTTTATATAATGATTTACATTTATTTATTGTTCTAAGCAYTGATCTCATGTATCTAGTGGAGATTGCTTCCAAGACAACTAAAATGAATTTCAGCAATTTTGTGCATCATCTGCAGCATAGATATTAAATTACACTTGAGAGTTGCTATATGCACAGCAGCTGAGTTGCACATGGCAAAGATGGTATCACTGACGTTTAGTGTTTACCATTTTCTGAGAATTTCGTTATTCAAATTGGCGGAGACCAAAGAGTGCACACTAGAAATTATTCTGTAATTTATGTCTTTCATAGGAGTTTTACTATTATTCTTTTCTTCCTTTCTGCCAGTTACATTGTGTGCATTAAGGTAAGTCGTACAATGAGCATACTCTGCTGAAGATAGAAACAGGTGTTTTGTCTCTCCCATTTCGGTGCTTTCCAACCATGGTGTTAAAAGGTTGTCACTAACTTTTCTTTAGCCATGGTCTATTCATGACTAGTAATAAAACAATTCGTTGTTTCTTATTCATAAATAATTAAACTAATGCTGGATTTTAGTCCAGTATTCATTTTTGAAACAAGGACAGTTTGAAACCAGGATGTTTTCGTGTTTCCTGAAGTACTCTTTAACTAGGGAACTTCATCATATTAGGGAACTTATCACATTTGTGCAAGAAAAAAACCAAAACCAACTGCTTTTTAAAGGATTTTTTTTTTCTTGTAAAGAATGTTAACTAGCTTATAAATTCCTCCAAAAGGTGCCCTGGTGCCAGCCCTGTTAGTTCCTCTGGTGAAGGACATTTTAAAACTAAGTTGCCATCCTTTTATCTAAACAGGGAGCATGCAGGTTATTTTAATCCATTTGTCAGATCATCTCTCCAATACAGAATTACCAAAGTGTCCCAAATAAAGCCAGTTGAAAACTTGACAAATTTAAGGTTCTTTACTTCGCCAAACTGGGTAAATTTGTAATACATATGCACTAAATCTGTTTTCAAGCTGACTTGTGRAAAAGATGTGATAATTCAAGCAATAGGCAACCTCTCTTTCAAAGGTGGTTTTAAGTATTTCATGGTGCAGGATCAGAAGATAATAGGCTTTTTTTAATCTTTGGAGCCAATACCAGCTCATTATCTGGGTTCTTCAGAATGCACTCTTATTTGGCAACATTAATTTGATGTCATGGGTCATTTTCACTGTGAACAGTTTTCCCTTTTATCTTTTGCTTTTGGATGCATATTCCGTGAGTTCTTCTTAGTGCATTTATACATGGCTTTGCTGATTCTTAAATCTTTTCTTGTAGGTATGTTGATCCAAAGCAGTTAAGSATAAGGGATGGAAACCCTTTAAAAATTAAGCTTTTGTGTCTTTTTTTCTTGACCTCTGCAGTGCCTAACTCATGGGACAAAGCACCTTGGTATCACAAGCCCTCTGAAAATTRGCTTCTGTTGAACCTATATGCATGAATCCTATGAAAAACAGCATTTCAGAATTATAGTCAAAATGCTTCTAGATTTTTGTTTTACCGTTATTATTTTTATCTTTGAGAGGAGTGTATCTTCAGAATCTCAGGATACCATAGCTTACACAATGGTGTTTGGGTTAAGTAGAAGGATTTTGGTTTTGAGGTATTAAAGCCTGTTGGTAAACTCACCTTTTCACAGTAACTTTGATAGCTGAAATATTTCAGTACTTGGAGTTTATCAAGGATTAGGTTTAAGAAAGCAAGTTTTAGAATCCTTGTTAAGAAATACTTGTTAAATACTGACGTTTTTCTGATACGTTCTAGATAACTAGCAGTGTATACTGATACAGGAAATCATCAGTAATTACATCAATGTATGCTGTGTGCCCAGTCTTCACATACTGTAGCTAGAGGGGTTAAACCCCCCCCATAGCAGGATTAAAATATTGAGCACAGACTGTTCTGCATATGGTGAATTCTAATAGTTGTAACARCTGACCCTAAGATTGTCTCAGCTGGTCAGAGCATGGTGCTAACACCAAGATTGTGGGTTCAACCCCCATGTGAACTATTCACTCAAGAGCTGGACTTGATGGTCCTTTTGGGTCCCATCCGACTCTGAATATTGTGTGATTCTGTGCTGGATAAACAGCTGTGATTTTGCTAGAGCTGATAATTTTCTTTTTTAATTTAAATATTAACAAATTCCAGGTCTTAGCACTTGATTATACTCTCTATAGAGGTTATTTTATGCTCTATAAGGAATACTAATTTAAAAAATCCCATAAGGTCTAACTCAAGTACTTTAAGGACTTTTAGACTGAGACTGCAACAAAGATTTCTGATTGTTAACAATTTTTAATGAAACAATAAAAAAAAAAGTTATTAAAAGTCTGAATCAAAAGTACTCTGAGCAAATTGAAATAGTTCATTTGCTTTGCAGGTCTGGGATGGCACAAAATGTCCCTACCCCACATGGAAGGTACCTGTGGAAGAAAAATACCTGGAAGGAGAAAAACTTCGTCTTTATCATCTGAGAAATCTAACAGTGGACATTCTGGTCTATGATAATCACGTACAACTGGCAGAATCACTTACGGTAATGTGCAGTTTGGTATTTCAAACTCTCTTTTTGTGGCCTATTTTCTGCTTGAAAATCACTTCAGAGAATACATCAGCTCAGTTCTGCTGTAATTAGTTTAGTGTTCCTCTTTATCTTCCACTGTGTTTCCCGCACCTTTTATTTGAATGCAAAAGTCCTTCAACATGTGTTAAACCAGCTCATTACCTGAAAATTGAAAAAAAATCTTCCAATTAAGCAGTTCTTTCCAGACACTGTAATATAATAGATGACACTATGAAAATAATGCACTCAGAAAATGTATTCTATCCTTTAGAATTATTTTTAAATGATAGAATGCAGCATTAAACCTGTAGTGCTGTTAAAKACCCTTAATTCTAAAGTCAATAGAAGATTTTCTGTTCTATAAAATTCTGCAGTTTGCAGTGCAGTCTTCATTTARTAAGTCAGTAATGTTGATTATTCTTAGATAGAGAAAACAACAACATAATTAAACATTTGATCTTCAGCAATACTGCCATCTTGCTTCTGAATGCAGGAACTTGGCAAAAAATATATCTTTCATTTCATGCCTTGCCCTCATTCCTAGGATTATTTTTAAGAAAACATTTACCAAAAAATAAAGTTAAGTGATAACCAGTTTTTATGCTGGGTCTATCAGCAGACTTGAAATCAATTTGATAAATTAATACCCATTCATAAGTAAATTACAGATTTCAAAATAAGTGTAAGAATTTGTGTAAGAATTCGTAACAAACTGTCAGAAGTATTTAATTATTTACAAGTTCTCTTCCAGATTTTTTGTCTGKCTAACTGGTGCAAATAGCTGATGTTCCAGTGAAACAGTACATTTCTAATAGTAAGGGAAACAGTATTTTGATATTGATAAAATATATATTCTTGAGTAGCTAATAACACTCCCATTTTATTATTCTCCCCCTCATCATTTCTTTCATTTTTTTTCTTCCTATTGCTTGCTCTTTCTCATTTCTCCCTATTTGTACCTTGGCTGGATACTGCTCTGTGTAGTATCTCTAATAATTTCAAAGGAAATTGTTAAGAAACCTCCTTTGACCTCTTGTGGGTGTTTTTCTCCTTCTGGCTATGTCCAAAGTTGCAGTCATTTCAGTCATGTAAGCTGTTGAAGTTTCAGGTTAGATGATTTTTGTACACTGCTTTTTAATGGATTGTCCTAGTGGACTTATCAAAGAAGAATAGCTGATTCTATGCTAATAGAATTTCAGAAATACTTAGTAATTTCAGATTACAGCATGTAAAATGAATTCTATTTCACATAATAATATCTGTATATATAATAAATTCAGGGGGAACGCTCCTTAAAATCAAGGACTTTATTAAAGGTTTTTAAATATGAGTGGAAATAATGTCCTATCATAAAAAGGTGTGATTGAAATATGTATAGTATTTTATTGAACTCAGGCTCTTGTAAGCAAAGGTTTTTTTAAAAGTTCATTTATGTAGCAGTWTAGACTGGAGAGTGTTCAGTGTATCCATATGCACCTTCCCAAGTATGATATATTTTACCAGTTTTTGATTTCAGAAACAATAAAAAGTGCACTTTCASTCTTCTCTACTATATTTAGCAGTATCTTAGAATGGCCTTTTAAAATGTAGTTGCTATAGAATTGTGGAATTTGTATATTTGTAGTTGTTTCTCCCACTATTCCTTTGACATGTCAGTTGTATTCTCCCCACTTCTGTCTTTTTACTCATTGGAAGGGGGAAGAAACCTAAAAGACAACAGTCCTGAGTCCTTTAAATTCCTAAATGGATTTAAGTTGGTGTGTCTAACTGCCAAGGATGGTGTCCAAATGCTGTGTATATTCTTTGTCTCATTTGCAGAAAGTTGTGCACCATTTACTCAGTAAAATTAGACTGTTGATGCAATAAAAATGATGACAAAGAAATCTCATTGAATATAATCAACCGTAAAAATAGACATAACCAAGTCACCTTYACTCATTTTTAAGTAATACCTGTAGATAAAGACAGCTTCTTGTCATAAGTGACTTTTTGGGCAAACATGRTTATTTACCTGCCATGATAAATGCTGTTATGAACTCACCAGTGTGAATGCGAGCACAGCCCTATATTATTTGAAATACTCTTGAGAATTTCCCATGCTGAAAAGTTGTTTTAATTAGCTAGTTACAGGGAGCTGCATATATGACTTCTGCATTTCAATTCTCTCTAGCCTCTAAGTGTATTCTTTAAATAGTTGAATTTGAACTAGACTAAAAAAAGGATGTTAGCATGTTTTATATTACTGCAAGAAATGTTTTTATACTCCTTTAATTTCAGTTTTAAATGAACCTCCTCTAAACAAGGTAGGTTACAAACAGAACTGCTGTAAACTCAAGTATGGAGCTGGTTGTGTATTAGATTTTAGTGATGGCTYTGTAAATTATGGTATTTACTTTAAAGTAGATTATAATTTCCACTTAGGTGTATAAAATGCTCCGTCTGCAGGCATTCTGTAAACAACAGAAATACAGTAACATTTTTATCCCTAACATCCACATTTGCTCTCTGCTGTTAACAGTGAGCAAGGCTGCCTCCCAAAGGAATCCATGGAAATGGCATTCTGTCTACCCAGGCATCTCTGGGCTGACTTTCTTTATGGACTTTTCCAGTATTTGGCAATGCTGATTGTTATGCATCTTTTCTTTAGAGTTTTAAGTGACATTAAAAGATATAAAATAATAACATTTCCAGAAAAGGATCTAATAAATGTTTATAGATGAAGGTTATTTTATAAAGATGATAATCTTGCAAACTGAATGTTGCACTAAAACACTTAGTTCAGTTGACTTTTGCATGTATTTCAGTGCACAGGTTTAGAAGGCAGACACAGCATTTTGTATTCTTGACTTCTGAGCTTCCCTCTCCCATATTTAATTTTTTGAATTTATACATAGAGAAAATACTTATTTTTTTTTTATATTCTCTTTTTGAAAAATATAAATTTGTCATTTAAAGTYAACTTTCTGCTACTTAGATGCAAATTACACTTAATGGCAGCTAAGTAGTTTGACATTGTTTTATTTACGTAAGGTTGTTTCATWAGCAGAACTTAGCTGAGCACTTCTAAAAAACTTTCTTCAAAAGCATTTTTCATAGTCATTAGATTAACCTTGTGATATGAGTGTCCTTTGCGTTTTTGAATATTCAACATAATTAAGTAAAATCAGCATTTTAAAATGAAAAAAAAAAAATTTTTTTTGGATAAGCCTCTTAACTGCCATCTAAATGCACAWGCTGTCCTGGTGGTGCTTTGAATGAACAAAATGAGCAGCCTCCTAATGTGCAGATCAATTAAAACTCTGGTAAGAGCTTCATGCCAGAGGCAAAATAGGTGCAGGCTGAAGTGCACTTTTTATGTCCCTGCTGCCTCAATTGGAAAATATGCTGCTTTTTTCATGTGTGATTATTGTTTAAAARCACAGTTTGATACCACCATTATGTAGTCATAGTTTGTTCCTTGATGCAGAGGAGAATTCTAGACACAGGTTGCTGCTCCATCTGCTTTTATGCATATTTACATGTGTTTAAAAGTGTACTATGACATGACCATTCCAATCTAATAGGACTACTTTTTTGGTTTCCAGTAGTTGAAGTGGGACCTGAAGCTGAAATMAGATTTAATAATCTGACTGCTGTAAATTTAATTTTAATTGAACTAACTTTAATTTGTCATTTTTTATCAGGCTATTTAAAAGATACTTAGAATGAATATAAATCCAGGTTGTTGAATGTGTGTAGTTTGCCAGCTATCAGCTGGATCTCAGATTATGTATATTCTCCATGTACCTGAGGAGAAGATCTAACAAAAGTGCCATGGTCTTTCAGTTACTAACACTTTTTGTCTTTTGTCCTGGTGCTAAAAAGTAATTATCTGTAATGTAAGAATAAGATACGATAGAGAAATCTGAGTAAGCATATATGTTTGTATGTGCAGATAAACAGCATTCCATGCACAATGGTGAGCAGGTCAATTGCTAAATGTGATCATATATGGACAAATCACAGGATGTCAATCTGCAGGGCTGTGTAGGGAATATAGAAGGCAAATTGTGCCCTCAGGAAAGGAATGTATTGACTCATTTGGTCAGTCTTTTGAAGTCTGTTTGAGAATTAGATTTACTAAGAAGGCTTATGCTGGTTCTGAATCACCCTTTGCTGCCAGCAGTGTTGTCTGATAAAGCAAAACAAACAGGTCCCTTGGAGAGGTTTCCATATTTGAAAATACTTAAAACCCAGCTGGAAACAACCTTAAGAAGTCTGCTCTAGTTGACTCTGCTTTGGGCACAGGAGTTGAACGAGGTAATAACCAGGGGTCCCTGAGAGTTTCRTGTGTTCTGTGATTCAGTTAAAACAGGGAAGAAGCTTCATGAGGACCAGAATTTTCCATGTAAATAACTAACTTTGTGTTATCAAAGTGKTTTTTTTTCCCTTGCAGATTGGAAGTTTTCTGAGAATTTACGGTATTCATACGAAACAAGCAAGTGCTGTCAGTGAAGATGTCTCACATATACAATTTCATCTTCATGGTGGCACCTGTTACGGTCGAGGAATAGGAGTCTTGCCAGAAAGTAACCCAGATGTTCAGGAACTAAAAGAGTAAGTACTATGTGTAGATCTTTTTTTTTTCTAGATGATTCTTGAAAACTCTGGGCTAATGTAACAGCTGTACCATTATGAATTGTAAATGTATCCAAGAATCAGAAACTCAGGAACAGAGTAAGTCTAGCACTGCTAAGTTGAGGAGTATTTGAATGAATAGGTAAATAAAGACATTTTTTCAAATTTAAGTAGGGATCAAGATTTCTATTTTACAGGATTGTGATAATAAAGTCTGACCATATTAACGTAATTATTCTGTTTTATAACAGCATGTAATCTTTTGAAGACAAAAGCCTTGTTTCAGCAAGTAAATTAAGCATACTTTAAACACATGCATATGTGATACTTGGAAGTGGTGAGATTTGAAGATGATCAAAATGAAGCAGATTATTTGCGTTCTTTACTGAACATGGATAAGGAATCCGAATCATATAGGTTGAAAAAGATCTTCAAGATCTTTTGAGTCCAAGTGTAAACCTTGTCCAAGTTCACCACTAAAACATGTCTCTAAGCACCACATCTACATGACTTTAAAACACCTCTAGGGATGATGACTCCACCACTTGCCTGAGCTCCTTGTTCCAGTGCTTGACAACAGCAAGCCCTCTTTCCATGAAGAAATTTTTCTTAATATCCAATCTAAACCTCCCCAAGCGCAACTTGAAGCCATTTCCTCTCCTTCTGTSATTTGTTGCCAAGGAGAAGAGGCTAATCCGACTTCAAAACTATCTTCTGTCATGTTGTTGTGGAGATAAGTGATAAGGTCCCCCCTGAGCTTTCTCTCCTCCAGGCTAAACAATCCCAGCTCCCTCAGGTGCTCCTCACAGGTCTTGTGCTTCAGCCCCTTCACCAGCTTTATTGCTCTTCTACACTTGCCCCAGCCCCTCAATGTCTTTCTTGTACTGAGGGGCCCAGAACTGAGCACAGGATTTGAGGTGCAGCCTCACCAGTGTTAAGTACAGCAGGACAATCGCTGCCCTGGTCCTGCTGGCCACAGCATTGCTGATCCAGGCCAGGATGCCATTGGCCTTCTTGGCTACCTGGGCACAGCTGGCTCATGTTCAGCCTCTGTCACCACCACCCCCAGGATCTTTTTCCCTGAGCCCTTTTCCAGCCACTCTGTCCCCAGCCTGTAGCGCTGCCTGGGGTTGTTGTGACCCAGCTGCAGGACCCAGCCCTTCACCTTCTGAACCTCCTGCACTTGGCCTTGGCCATCGATCCAGCCTGTSCAGAGCCCTCTGCTGAGCCTTCCTACMCTGCAGCAGATCAACACTCCTGCTCAGTGTGGGGTCATCTGCAAACTGAGGGTGCCCTAGAACACCTCGTCCTGATCATTAGTAGAGAAATTAAACAGAACTGGCTGCAATACTGAGCCCTGGGGAGCACCATTTGTGAGTGGCCACCAGCTGGAGGTAACTCCATTCACCACCACTCTCTGGTCCTAACCATCCAGCCAGTTCTTTACCCAGGAAATATGCACCTGTCCAAGCCATTACAGCCAGTTTCTCCATGAGAATGCTGTGGGAAACAGTGTCAAAGACCTTACTGAGGTCCAGGTAAACTGCATCCACAGCTCTTCCCTCATCCACTAAGTGGGTCATTTYGTCATGAAAGGAGATGAAGTTGGTCAAGCAGGGTGTGTCTCATAAACCCACACTGGCTGAGTCTGATTCCCTGGGTGTTCTTTATGTGCCACATGATGGCACGCAAGATGATCTGCTCCATGACCTTCTCCAGCCCTGAGGTCAGGCTGACAGKCTTGTAGTTCCCTGGGTCACCCTTCTGACCGTTCTTGTAGATGAGCATCTATAGTAATTTTCAGTCCACTGGGATCTCCTCACTTATCCAGGGTTGTTAAATGATGGAAAGTGGCTTCTTGAGCACTTCTGCCRGCACCCTCAGTATCCATGGATGGATCCCATCCAGCCCCATAAACTTGCGTGTGTCTAAGTGGTGTAGCAGGTCACTGACCATTTCCTCTTAGATTTAGGGAGGTTTCATTCTGCTTCCCATCCGTGTCTCCCCACTCAGGGGTCTGGGTTCTCAGACAATAATTGGTCGTACTGTTAAGACTGCGACAAAGAAGGCATGAAGTGCATTGGCCTTTTCCTTATTCTTTTTCATTATATTTCCTCCCCCATCCAATAAAGGATGGAGATTCTCTTTAACCCTCATTTTATTGATGATGTATTTGGAGAAACTATTTTTGTTGTCTCATACAGCCAGATTAAGTTATAGTCAGGTTTTGGCACTTCTAATTTTCCGCCTGCATAAGATTCTTGTAATCCTCCTGAGTGATCTGCTTCTTCTTCCAAAGGTTAGAAACTCCTTTTTCTCCTTAGGAGAGGTTAAGTAACCCAGGTTCATATTTTATTATCAGGGTTTCTGTTTCCAGTAGTACATACTTCTTTTGGCACTATTTTGTGTTTAATGTTCCAGAAGTGATTTGGAAAGTGTCTCRTCTGCATCATTAATGTAATCTCCTGCAACTTCTGGCTCAGTTGAGTTTTATGTCTCTGCTGGAACATTTATGTCTGAACATTACATCTGTGTATTGATAATAAATAGGTTTCATATAAGTGTCTGTATAATCCTATATATATGTGTGTGTGTGTATGAAAATATATGAAAGATTTCTCTAGGTTATAAAATACTTCTTCATTTAATTTTAGGTTCTTAGAATCTGTGGATCTGTTAGGCAGTCAGAGTAATGAAAGCATGTGTTCAATGGAATTAGATGGCCCTTTTGGCAACATTACAGGTAAGAGCAATTGAAAGCTGATTTGCTCTTTCTTCTRATAGATATATAAGGTCACAATTACTGCTTCTCTATTTGTGAAATGTTACTTTGGCATGCAAAGCCTTAGAGAATTCCTTCAGTTTATTAGACTGGAAATTTAMATTACTCTTTCTTTCTCCCAGGACAAGCATTTCATATAACATGGAAAGATACTTTCGTAGGAGATAGTGAATAAATTCTTGAACACAGATGCTGTTCTTAATCATACTACATTAGATCACAAAGCTGAGTTACGTAACTGCCTCCCTCTAAAGGGCGACACTGCAGGGACAGGCACTGAAAACACTGCTAAATAGCTGCCTGTTGAGGAGCCCTTCTTATGCTATTGCATGGAAAATTGTGTCAGTGGCAGAGCTGTAAGGTGCATTTCCATGGAATAGTGGTATGTTATAGATATTTCTACAGAACCCATATTACTCTCTGAATTTTTTTTAGCCTAGGATAAGAATAACTAAAAGGGAATTAAACTCCAAAGTTGGTTGGACATAGCCTGTATCTATGCTTCTAGCTTTTAAAAATCTGTGTTACTCAGCCATTATTACCATAAAAAATAGGACATTTTWAGAGGAGGCAAAAGTCAAGAATAAATAAATGCTTCATGTCCAGTTCATAAGTGAAAATCTAGAATAAAATTTTGCACTTGCTTTTTTGTTGTTGTTGTGGTGKTGTTTTCATTTATTATTAGCATTTTCATTTTCATCTGTTTAGCGTTTGGTTTTGTGTGTGTATCTATCTGTCTTTCTGCCTACCTCTAAAGAGTTTGTGTGTGTCCACAYAGAAAAGAAGGAAGAAAGATAATTAGGAAATTCTTCTTGATTTTAGATCTYGAATTGCACATACAGAGATGCCAGCAGTTATCTGTTACAGGTAGGTAATATTTTGACCCTCAGATGAATTCTAATTTTGCTAAAGAACAAAAGTAGTTTTGAGACATTCTCGTAAAGGTTATTATAGGAAGAACTATTCTAAGATTATAAAAGCACATGTGCTGTACTGGGTTTATTTGTTGTTTAAAGTAATAGAGCATATTTGTGTATTCTACTTTTATTTTTTTTTTTACATGTTACATTTCTCTATCCTGAACTACTCCATGCTYCTGCAGCCTGGTGTGATTTATCTTACAGACCATAATAACAAGTTGTATTGATAAAACTGAGGCTGCAGCTGGGAAGGAAAGAGAAGTTGGAAATATAAGAAAAATGCGTACCTGCAATTGCTTTTACCTGCATTACAATTATCTAGTGGTTGCTAGATATGCAYGGTGCCTTTTTGTCTCTCTGTGTATTGTTTTGCAGTTTTAACAGATCATCAGCATTTGAGTAACACAGACCTGAAAACCATAACAAACAGCACAGCTCCTCAACAATTTCGCATTAGAGCAAAGCTGAGAACTTACAAACCCCAGAAGCTCCATCAGTCTGTTAAACTTTATTGTTCCAAATGCAACTCTTTGTAAGTATTTCACTCAGTGTAAGTAACTAGGAATTGTTCTGAATGGTTTGGGATACCTAGATTTTCAGTGTGTTTTTCACTTTTTTTGTGTAAAATAAACTGAAGGTAAGTGTATGTCATTTTGAGCAAAGATTGGAAAGTCACTGATAATAAGTAGGAATTATTTAAATCATCAGATAAGTTCCCTTTACAGAATCCTTTTTGAATGCTTTCAGGACAATAATTTTTCTTTATTTTCAAATGCAGCAGTGCAGTTTTTTCCATACCATAGTTGTAATGAAGTATCCTAAGTACCTTAAGTGTTTCTTTATTGCATTTTTAAAAAGGRTGTACAGAGATATAATAGTTTCCAAATGAATTAATAAAATACCTTTGACTAAAATGTGTCTTCCAGAATCTTTTCTGGATGCAGAAATACCAGGGAAATTACACAACTTCAGGCCATTACCTCTGGTCCTGTCCCTGGTTACCCAGAGAAGAGATCAGTGTTTGCCCCTGCTCTTCCCCTCCTGAGGAAGCTGTAACTGCAGTGARGTCTCCTCTCAGTCTGCTCCAGGCTGACCAGACCAAGTGACCTCAGCCACTCCTCATACAGCTTCTCCTCAAGGCCCTTCACCATCTTTGTTGCCCTACTTTGGAYATGCTCAGACATCTTTTCCAGGCTAATAGATTCTGTAATATTGGTGTAATTTGGATGGCCTGCATTGTTGCTTCTCTGTGTTTGACAAGTGGAAATGAACGAATGGTGCACTCCAGCAGGACAGGATAGGAATCTGTGGTGCAGAGTTGCAGATTTTCCCTTTACAGTGTTTATGTGGAGGTATTCTGCTTCTGTCCCTTTTTTTCTGTTTTCTCCCTCAATATATGCAAAGTCAAATAGACTAGAACACAGGACTTGCAATTATATAAGCTTATGAGGTCTTTTAAAATCTAATGAAGGGATACACAGTTTGTGGCTCTTTTAAGGCCCAACTGAAATCACATGAAGCTGATATATTTGGTTTTCTGTGGWTTTTCATTTGTGTGGGATGTAGCCACTAGGCTGCCTCTTCTCCTGGGTAAGTTAATGTATAACTTAGCATATTTATTAACATGGGAAGTCATGATATGCTATACCACTCTAAATGTTTAAACTGATGAAATGATGAAGATATTTTTCCTCTATGTACTTTAACTCTCGTGACTTTATTCTAGTATTTATTTGGAGCACTGTCATCCTTGTTAGTAGATTGCTTAAGGAGAAGCTGTTAGAACTTACTTACTCATTTTGGAAATGGTTTTAGGCAAGAAGTTCCAAATAGAGATGATTTTAAATTCATTTTACGTGGCTCTGCTGCTACTGCCCCAAACCCAGAATTACACAACACATTGTGGTATGAATCTGTAGTGTGGACTACGCGAGGCCAGAAGCCAAGGGAAATAGCCATCCATTTTGTGAAGCACGATGAAATGCTTCAATATCCTGAAGACACCTTGCTTATGATAGAAGGTAAGGTAAATTGCCAATATACCACTTCTTACAGCAGTGTCCACTCTGAGTATGTTCAAAGTAAAGATGAGTTGAAGTTGTATTCAGTGTAAGTAGTGATGATCAGAAAGACGTGTTTAAAGAAAACAAAAGCTCAGCTGGAACTGTAAGTTGCTGTTGTGCAGAGGAGAAAGGTGGTCTGTGAAGGGGTTGTAAGATGCTTCTGTCTGTTTTTAAATTATGCCATTATGTTTACTGTTGATTATACTAAAGTTAACATCTGAATTTTTTTTTCTAACTGTCCTTACTGATTTTTGAATTCTGATTTAAATATTAGCTGAGTCTTSTAAACAAGTCTATATTAAGTATTGATGTTGAAAAGTTTTGAAAAGCTTCTGGTAATACAAGCCTCCAATTAACTTTGTCAGCCTCTGGATGTCAGTGTTGTTTCAGATTAATAGAGCTTCTCTCAGTGTGAGTTTTTTAGTTTGGTGTGGTTTTTATCAGATTTCCTCAGTGAAGTGAAATAGCCAYTGACCTGTAAACATAGCAGTTTCACAGTAATACTATTGAGGAATTTGTAATATAATAAAAATAATGAATAATTKCATATAGTACCATTCAGAGCTTAAAATAAAGTCTTCAATTGTGCTCAAGTTGTAATGTGAATAAGCAAGTGTAAATCACGTGGTCTTTTGTGTGACGGTCAATGGCAGAACCCCTTCTGTTTTCTGCTTTCCTTTATAATGGATTAGTTCTGATAGCTGCTTTATTTTTGTCTTGTTTCAAGCTGATTTCAATCTAATCTTTTCTTTCTGAAAAAAATTTATTTTTCCTCCATTTTCCTAAAACAACTGATCAATACAACTTGGTAAATCTATTTTCAGATATTAAAATGTCAGCAAGTATGTCTGTATGTGGATATGTACCTATGAAAAGTGGGTTTGGTTGCTTTGATTTTTTTTTTCCTAAGAAAATGGCTAGTAACATCATAGGAGTAATTATATGAAAGTGATGTTAACTAAATACAACTTCTTGGTTACAGTGTTAGCTATCAGGAAGATATTAAGGCATCCTCTTTGATGAATGTCAATCTTTGTTTCTTAGTTAAGTCTGTTGTTAATTGGAAGTATTGGGCTGGTTTGTTTTTTTTTTGGTTTTTAATATTGGATATTTTTTTGGTTTTTAATATTGGATATCAGTTATTATTGAAGACTCTGAAATCAGCTGAGAAATACAAGTTGTTCAATTTATTTCTGACTACTGTTTAAGAAACTATATTTTTTTGTTTTTAATAGGTGGAACACTCAAAGAAATCTGGAAGCTTACAAAAAGATTTAAGTGTGTTATTCYTGTGAGATCCACTGAAGATGATCTTGAATTATTAGATCTTTCAGCTCCTTTTCTTCTACAAGGGAAAATAAAATATTATGGGTAAGTTAAAAGTATTTGTTGATATTTCAGTCATTGCAGTAATAGATAGCATTTTCTTCAGTAATTCAGACTGCAGAGCTCAAGGGGTAATTTTCCCAAAGATTCTTTGATGTAAAATACATAGCAGGTCCCACAGTGCTGACATCAGGGATGAAATGCTGTRTCATTTGATACCTTGTATCAAAGGACTCACTGCAGTTTGGCTCTTGATCTGCAAATCTTAAGCCCTTAAATTACACAGCACTCCAGGTTCAGTCTTGTCTGCGGCGCATGGGTAGGGCAGCATGGGTATAGRGGTGAAACACACATGCAGTGTGGAGTACCAAAATACCTCTTTTAGYCCAGATCTTCCATTTTCTAGGCTCACTTAGACTAAGGTCAAAACATATTGCTTTAAAAATTGTATGCTGAGGGGTTTTACATATATAGATATATGTATGTAGGCAACAGATAATATTCAAATAGAGATCCAGAAAATAATCTCAGGATGTCAGTCTGCTTGTAAAGCTTGGGAAAGCTTGAGGTCTGGAAGAGGTAAGGAATTTTAGACTGCCTTTCCTTACCATTWGTAATTTATTGGTATCCACCACACTGCAAAGTTCGTTACTTATTTATGGATGTCATTCACTGTAGAGACGACTTCAACAGGTTTCTGAATTCCACAATTCTACAGCTGTGGAATAGAGTATCTCTATATCTGTGATATCTGTGATSTGCCATGCAGCACCATGTTCCTGCTCAATGAGAGCTGTCAGCAGTGTGTTCTCCCAGTAGTGCCCAGCAGTTACTGAGCTCAGAAGTACCAGTCTCCTTCATGCAAGTGACTGAGTGCTCTCTCTCAGTGGTTCAGACAGAGCACAGAGCAGTGGTGCACTATGCAAGGTCTGCAGGCAGTAATAAAATTTCTGTGCAGAAATATTCCATGTTTCATGTGAACCCTAAAGTTTCCCATAGGGGCCATCCATAAAATGAATACAAGTAATTGTTTCTCTTTGTCATTTATAGTTTTGACCTTTGCAGATATTGCAGTCTACAGCTTTTTTTAAATAAAAGCAGTATGTGGGTACTCCTGCTGGGACAGGATCTTTACCAATACAAAGTATTTCCCTTTGCACTTTCATAATCCATATATTTCCCCAGCTACACACAACTCACCTTCAGACATTGTTCTCTCTTCAAAGGGTTGGATTGTAAAATTAAATGCTTTATAAGATATTCTGTGATTGCTTATAGGATATTTAGGAAGGAACCTCACAAGGATGCTGACATTTCAGAGCCGTGTTTCATGCACATTTTTATCAGGGGCATATACCTAGCAAGTGTGGAAAAGATTTTGTATGGTAGAATGAATTATATGTGTGTACATATGCATGTATATTCATCTGTATATAAAAAACAGACACACTGCATATAATAAAGCAAAACTTACAATTAAGTTAATTGGCATTTGAGTGTGTTTTTTAAAGGAAAAAAAGTGGCTTAGCTGAGCTTGACTTTATATCACTAAGCAGAAGTTTCATTGATTTTTTTGACATGCCTTGTATATAATTCTAAAAGATGATAAATGTTTATTTCAAGTTCTAWCTGTAATAGACTAATACAGAAGCTTAATTTGGAACAAATACTTTTGCTCTGTAATCTCATTCCTTGAGGCAAATGGGAGCAACTTTGAAAACAGTTCTTCAATATTTTTGCACACTTGCAGCATTAGCTTACTATGTCACATGTGAAATCTATAATAATTGGTGTAAATACATGAGAAAAAAATATATTGTTTTAACAACTCTTAGTTAATATTCTCAACATAGGCAAAGCCAAATTTCTCCTGTAACTCTGTAGTGGGTTTAGAGCGTGCTACAAGTTCATTCTTGCTTGTACAAAGTGAGAAGTAGTGGCATATGAATATATGTATCAATGTATGTTTAGCAGTGTAGTGATCTTAGAATCATAGAATGGTTTGAATTGAGAGGGACCTTTCCTGATCATCAATCCAACCCCGTGCCTTGGGCAGGGACACCTTCCACTGCAGCAAYTTGYTCAGCTCTATACAGTCTGGTCTTGAACACTTCCAGGTATAGGGTATCYACAATGTTTCTGGACAACCTGTTCCAGTGCCTTAAATCCTTCTTTGTAAAGTATTTCTTCCTTCTTCACAATCTAAATTTGCCYTCTCCCAGTTTAAAACTGTTGCTCTTTGTTCTTCACTGCAGACTTTKTTCTTCACTATAGGTTAAAAGTCTCTCTCTGTCTTTCTTGTAAGCTGCTTTTAGTTGTGGAAATGCCACAACTGGGGCTTCCTGGAGCCCTCTGTTTTCCAGGCTGAACAGCCCCAACTCTCTCAGCCTTGATGTGCAGTTTTACTTGTATCTGTTCACTGAAGTGGTCTTCTCCAGATTTGTTTCTCCTCAGGGATAGTTGAAAAATAGCATAAAGGATTTTGTTGTGCTCTAAGCSAGACTGTCTGGTAAAAGTTATTTCAAGCAGCACTAGAAATACTTCTACACTTACACCCACTTCCAAATACTTCTTACACACTTCCACTGTGTAAGAAAATCAGAATTTTGTTTTTTTCTGTGCAGAACACTTCTAGTACAAATAAGTCAGTGTTTGGTTAGTCTCAATACCTTGTTTTCAATGCCAGGTGCAAGCAGTGTTCAACTCCAAAGCCTATGAGGTGTCTAAGTTCCATGGCAGCAGAAGAGCAACCGTCATGGGAACCAGCTGAAATAGCACAAGGTCAGCTGACATGGCATTGTCCTGAAATACTTCTGTGTCTTGTTTTGGAACTCTTTTTATGGAATAGTTTGATTTGCAGTTCTGAGTTGCAGTTTTGCAGAGAAAGCATGTAATTATGGTCATGTTGATGCTGTAAAATTCATTCACCTTTTAAGAGTTTAAGTAACTTATTTACATTTGGAACTACTGCAGTATGAATTATAGGATTTTATATGTTGATTGGTTTCTTCTACCATAGGTATCTGTAATAACACTTGCCATATTACAGACGTCATGAATTTTTAGTTGTAGATGTTACTTTTAAACTGTGTACATACTTGTAGTCCTAGAAATCAGTCTTGCTTTTCCTTTTGAAGATACTGTTTTTTTTTCAGACCTGAACTAAAGAGTCTTATTTAATGACTCATATAAGTTAGACTTTTTTTTTTTTATAAACCTTMTGTTAAGCATGTTCTGGAGAGTCTGCAAGAAATAATATTCAAATGAAGGGAATTTGAACACAATTTTGTGTGTTCCTTGTGTTACTATATGCAGTCAACATGTTAAAATGCTGAAAATGGAGTTAAAAAACTTTACAACACATTTAGGAAAAAGAATATTTGCATGTTTATCAATTCATGTTCTGATGTATTAAGCTGTAATAGCTAGCAGCAAATAAGTTTGGTAAACACTTTCTAAAATAAGAAAACTATTGGAGCAATACAATAAAGATCTCCTTTAATCTTGCATGGATAAAGGAACAGGGTAGGAGGGTCCACTAATGTAGGATCTAAGGTTTAAGCAAATATTAGGTCTTTGTTTACRAGCATGAGAATAAGTAGTTAAAATCATAATGTGTTTTTATAGGCTCATCTATTAAAGTGTTTCTAGGAAAATTGCAATGTGGTCTTAAAAGATAAATAACATTTTGCTGTTCAGAGCCTCTGTGTTTTGGTCTGTTAATTTATACTTTCAATGACAGTATTCAAAGTCAGTTACTTTTAAAGGGGGGATATTGTCAGCTCGAGTTCTTACAGTTTGTCTTGCATATCCTCTCAGAGAAACATAATTTTTTTCTTTTCTTCAGTTTTAGGTATTGAACTTCTTCAGTATGTTGTTATTATGAAGTTTACACTGGTTGATGAAACAGGATCACTAAATGCATACATTTTTGATTATGTGAGTAAACCTAGATAAAGGTAGATTATGTGAGTTTGTATTTTAATTTGCTTTTAAAATAGCAAGTGTTTGTACACAAATACTCATTCTATGTTACCTGCAGTGTTTTGTGGGAATGATCACAATGCTGTTAGGTTGTTAATACTTCACAGAGTATCGAATGTTAAAGCATAAAGAACTGAAGCTTGAGAATAGATTATTTGGTATTGCCATAAACTTTTATACATTCCTATGGCTGGATTTCTCTTTTATTTGCAATGGTAAATTATGCAGCCTGAATGCTGTGGGACTGATGGGAGTGTTTCAGGATTTATGCAGGTAACTTCTGCATTAGTTTAAAATCTCATTACCTTATTTTTAAATTCTCAACAGAATATATMCATTCAGTAATTCTTGATTTTCTTGTTTCACATGACCCTGACGTAAGGAGGCCTTTCATCCCTAGGCAGAACTGAGCTGTATGTGTACAGATATTTATCTTCATTTCAAAAGCAGTTATTCACTACTTTATTAACTTTAGAATGAACCTATCTTCAGTTTTCTCTGAAGCAACTTTAGAGCAATCCTGCTAGCTGAGACGCTGAAGAATGGATGGTTTTCCTGTCACTGCAATGTGGGTGTGACAAAACAGGATGCAAAAAGACTTTAGTGGGATTTTTTTTCTGCATATCTGTGCTGTTTAATGTGTATATAATCTGCACATTTTCCACCATTATATTAAATGACTTTGAATGGGACTTTGAAGAGAATATTCTTCCTTGTTTTAATTTTAAGAATGTRAGTAAAAATAATGCTGGGAAAAAAGTATTTTTTCTTAAAATACGTGACATTTTTACAGAAAAGGAAATCAAAGACTACAATCCCATTTCAGACAATTATCTTTTCCTTTCACTGTCCTTTTTTTCTTTTTATATCAAGAAGCTAAACTGCAAAAGGAAGGTGAGAGAAAAGATTTAAACCATCTCATGATGAAGAAGTCGAAGYATTTTTACTTCAGGGTAGCTCGCTTTCTTACCAGATACTGCTCAGTACTAAAGTTTAACTGCAGGAAAATACCCACAATTTCTTCTGAAATGACAGCTGCTTGAATTCCTGCTGGTGGTACTTCAAAGACAAGCCAATAGTTTCCAAGCCTAAACTCCAGTCCTTCTCTATCACCTGAGAAGGAACTGAGCTGCTTTGAAGTGCAGCTTTACCCCCTAGCTTCCAGTGCACTTCCATGGGAGCACAGTTCTTTTCTTTCCTCCCCTCCTTATATGAAGAATCAGTGGAGGAAAAAAATGAAAAAGTGTTATAGTCAGAAYTGGAAGAGAGAGAGAGTTATCTGTGTCAATTTTGCTGCTGGATTATCTGCTAGCTTCCGATCATTGCCATKAAACATGTCATACAAAAACTGTACAGAGGCAGATTATTCTGTATTTGTATCTTCTAACCAAAGTGAGAAATTACTACCAAAAATTTTAACTCACTCTGAGAAGTTATGAGGAGCTTCTAGAGATACAAAATAAGGTAACAACTTGGAAAGAATAAACTTGGAAAGAATAAACTTGGAAAGAATAAACTTGCAGTTTTTTCAGTTGTGCGTACAGTATGTGGTTTAAATATACACAGAAAACATTTATTTAACATTTTAATAATGTTAATGTAATAATGTTTAATTTATTGTATTCTGTCTTGATTCAGAATTTTACCCCACAGCCTTTTTCCATAGTTKCTAAAATGGTCAGAAATGAAACTCACACTAAGGGAGTTCCTCAGATATAAAGCCAGGTTGCAGTGCCCCTTCTTTTCAAGTGATTTTGTTCCTCTCAAGATGTGGGGGACTGTTGAGGGTGACTGACCATCCTCTCTGGCCATAACATTGTCTGGTTATGGAGGTTCATGAAGGATATCTACTGTTATGTATAGAGACCTACATGTGTATTTTCTGGGTGGCTGTAGTCCCTAAATACTCAGGGGTACTGAAAAACAGACCTTTTTTTTCAGACAGTTTGCTTTTTTTCTGTATCTTTTAAATAATACTATYCTTCCGTTGTGTTACCTAATTTTAAGTTCCTAGAAGAGCATTCAGTCRAGGTTCCRGCTAATGATTGCTTACACTTCCTTCAACCAACCCCTCATGTTTTCTCTTTCAGGAGAGGTTTTTCCAAGTTCCTGCCTCTGAAGTCTTAACCAACCAGTTTCTTCAGGAAAAGATGCAGATGACCATGAATTCACTCTGTCCTCCAGGAAGAAGATTAGGTCAGYTTGCTGTTATTTTAAAAGGGGGGTGGGAAGAGAAGTGAAGTGGTCTTTCAATCTCCATTGCAAATGCGAGGTGTTAGAATTCAACTTATGCACGAGCAAAACTCAAAACAGAGAAATTCTGGAGTCTGAAAGCAGAGTTCCAATTAATGTATTCTGATAACAAGCTTTTAATATTAGGTCTCCCTTTGAGAAAGAAAAGGAATGGTTCAGTAAATCCTCATGTAGCATGCAGTGATGTGTGAGGACAGTCATGCCTGTGCAGGCACTAACATGCCATCTGTATTCATATGGAAGTTAACCAGAACACCCTTGTACTGAGTGTCACAGCATGTTAGGGAAAACTGAACGGAAATTCAGCGTATCTGGCACATGCTTTGGGTGATACCCTGCTTTWGATTGCACATGCTGATTTAGAGAATCCCTTGCCGTGGGAAATACCCATGGAAATTGAGCAAATGCTTAATCCAAATCTATTTACAGTGATTTTTGTGCGTTGTAGCAGAAAGTAGCTCTGCCTAAACTACACATGTCCAAGGTAGCTGAATGTGTGACACAGCTCTGACCTCCAGGGTGTACWCCAAGTGCATTGCTGTCAGTGACCACTGCAATCACCCTGGAGTCTTTGCCATACTTWGAAAAGGTTGCCCTGGAATAAAGATTGGAAAGGATTTTCTCTTTGAGACCAGTGAAATTGTGTCATAGAGAGACGTGGAGATKAATTTTTATTACTGGAACATCTTTATGTGTATGTATTTTATACTGTGGCACAGCTACTGGGTCCAAGTGTTCAGTGGASTGCTGGTGCAGGGAGCACTCCACAAAGTCTTAGAAGACTGTCACAGAACACCATTTCAGATGTTGTGAGAAACTTTAAAGATACTAATTGGAATTCCAAAGTTAGCRATTAGTTTTTCTTATTATTAATTATTGTATACATTTAGATATCCTAGTTAGGATCCTGCTCAAGTTATACTTGCCTCCTATAAAAGTTTGAAATTGATACTGAAGAATAATTTGTGGTTTTTTGATAGGTGACTTGCCATGGCTGGAATGCTTCATCAGGTCCTATAATGTCAGAAATTCAACGAAAAATCAAGTTTATTACCAAATTTTTGACACTACAATTGCTGAAGATGTTGTATAGTCATGTGTTGCTGATTGTAAGTAATCAGTAAGAATCAATTTTTGTGGGGGTATCAGAGACTGTATTAAAAAAAACAACTTTGTTCCTTTCTTAGGAATTCAACCTGTATGTATGAACTTTTAGTTTGTGTGTGAATGTGAATTATACTTTGATATATTTGCTATYTTCCTGGCATACAACTTTGTGTTCTGAGGGCAAGTGGAGCTTTTCACTGGAAACTGCTTGGGTTGGGTTGATGGAAGCAATCTACTATCCATCTATCCTTCAAAAAGGCRGTGATGAGGGTACCCTAAACTGGTGAACTTGACTCAGAAAAATGTCTGGATGATGCTGTGTGTTTATTTGGATAGTAAATTATATCAGCAGAGGTAGGGAAAAGAAGCTCTTCAGTAAACTCAGACTATTTTGTGCAAGCTAATATTACTGTTCTCAGACAGTTTTACAGGGAGGTTGGTTTTTAGAAGCTTTTTTGKACTGATTATGTACATTTAGACAGAACTCCTGTTAGTAATACTCAGGTAACTGCTGCATGTACCATCACTGTAGATTCTGATGGCATTGTGAACATTTCCATGTAATGATTATCACTAAAATTAAAGTCAAGCCATGAAAGTAAGGGAGTGTAAAATTATAAAATGAATATTGACATTTGGTAGATGGTAATGATTCTTGGGTGGACCTGCTGGGTACCAGAGTTGTTATAGTGCTTATTAGCTGGGTCTGTGTTTTCAAAGGCTCTCTGAATGGATCTGGCTCCATCAGATTACACTGCCTTGATCTGCCTTTTCTGTCTTACATAATCAGATTGGGTGGCTAAATTTAGAGATACAGAACTGATCTGGTGCTATCATGGACTAAAAATTCTTCTGGTCTAGAAAATTACTTGGCGGTTTTACTTTGCATGCAGAAGTTTTCAGGACATGTTTCTCTAAGGATAATTAATGTAGAAATCCATGTCAAATCAAATGCTTTCCATCAGAGCAAAATTACATAGTATTTACAGCAGCTGTTTTTAAAGAAGTTCAGARGCAAGATGGAATATTTGTCAGTAGATTATTATTTTGATAATAGATGACATTTGATATTTTTTTCATTTTTCAGGGTTGTTTAGTAGATTATGCAATTTGTCATTTAAAATTGCATCAAATATCCTCTGTTATTTTTTGTATTGTAAAAAATTATACTGGGTTTATATGTCATAAGCCAGGATATTGTTCTTTATTGATTAATGTATAGGGACGGCCAATATTAACAATGATGAATTTCCTTTAAAAATTCTGAAAAATCAAACAACTTTGAAATGGAACCAGCAGTTTATCAAAGAGTCTGCTAATTATGACAGTTATCTTGAATATTTGCATAAATACCTCAACAAGAAATAGACATAACAAATGAATATTATATAATTCTAGACACTGGCCATATCCAAATGTTTTCACAAATTAGAGGTGAAGTTGAAGGCGATCTTTTTCCTTTTTTTGTATAGAGTGTATGAAAATATGAATTTTTATTTTTAGGTTTTTTGGTCAACTTTGAAAGATATTGCTATTGTACATTTTTTCCAAATAAATCTTTGTGAAATAATAAATGGGAAGAGTTTGTTAACTTCAGTGTAAAATCAATAAATTTCACCACATGCCTTGTCTGAGATCCCTGCCTAAAACTCTACATATGCATCACATTATTTTTTCACTATTGAATATCGTATTAAAATTTTTAATAAAGATTTCTCCAAATAATGAGGGGTTTTTTTGTATTTGACTTTTAGTTCCTATTTCATAACTGAGAATTTTGTCATCTGTAGCCCTCATGCAACATAATGCTCCAAGTGAATATGTAGTTCTTTGGATTGAAAGGTATATGTTTAATTCTCTTTCTAAATATAGTRCATAGAAACAAATTAATAATTACATATTTTTTCATACTAAATATCACTGTATAGAAAAAATTGCTGGATAGACATTTTAAAGTGGGTCTCATTGGTATCCTTTGTCTGGAGCAGTGGCAGTAACTGAGGTGGGACTTGGACCTGAGTCACCTGTCCTGGTCAGTGCAGAGAGCTGTGAGTGTGTGACTGAAGAGTGAAAATCATGAGATTATTGTGTCCTGAATGGCAGCTTCGACAGGCTCTGGTTTTTGAAMGATGAGCATCTCAGGCAGCAATGACTTCTAGCCATTACTTGCAATTTCTTTTAATTACCAAAAAAGTCTTATATCCTTAGGTGTGTGATTTTAGTTTCTAAAACATTAATAAAAGTTCAAATGTCTGATCTAATAGTTTTTAAAGTTACTGAAATATATATTCAAAGACAGCCAGAATTTGAACCARTAAGAAATCAGGTGAACATTAAGATACAGTGAAAACTCCAGGTATGTCTTGCTGGTTTCACATCTTCTTTCTCCCTCCACATACATTCCAGCATACAGGAAAACTGGATCAAAACATCACCTTCTTACTGGAAATGGAAAATATGCGTGGAGTGTGAAATATATGACATGCAGCAACATCATAAGGGGGAAAGAGTATCTGAATACAAAAATGGAACTATGAGGGAAAATAATAGAACTATAAAAGACCAATAAAGGAACATGAACCCATTCCCTGCTCTAATTACATGGAYAAGTGCAGGAAAAGGAATAAAATTGTAATTAAAAAGTATTTTCAGGGAAAAAAGAAAACAAAATAGATTTGGAATAGTATTTTTATGGGTCCGTGTGTGATTTGGCTCCTTGAAGTCTGTGTTTTAAGATTGGAAGTCTTTTCCAAATTCCGTTGAATTTAATCTCTTGGTTATGTCATGCTCTTGAAACTGCAGTTGGAAAGACTGAATTGAAATGCAGAAAAGAGGCATTTCTGGTAGGTGACCTGCTATTCAGTAGTGATTGAACTTTCTCATCAGCTTTTGCAGTTATGGGATCCAGAGATTTACAGACAAGGCTTTGAAATGCTTATCTTAATACTAATCCTTTGGCTACTGAGCAGCGGGAAGTGGGATTGTAAGRAGGACCGTAGAGCCCACGGGATACGAGCTGAGGTTTGCAACAGAAGGAAGAGAGTTTATTGTCTTAACACGGATGAGTGCTAAGCTTTTCAATACCACAGTGTTTCAGAGCACGAGAATTTGTGCACTTTTTTTGGCCAAAGCCATTGCAATAAGATGTGAAACTGGCAGGAACAGATACTACTGTTAGGGGCAARGCCAAATATTTAAATGATGTTATGAAAAAATTAGGCACATTTATACATTCAAGTTCTTCAGGTGGGACCAGTACAAAAAATTGTACCAAGTGGAGGAGAGAAAAAGAATCYAAATAAGAATTTACTTCAAGTATTATTCAAAGTGTACAGTGAATGYTAAGAATTGGAAACAAAAAATCAGCATAAGATGGAGACAAAAGAAAAGAACAATTCCGGAGGATAGTAATAAAWGCAAGAAGTGATAGTAGTCTTCATGGCACAGTTTGCTGCAGTTCCTGTCCACAGCACTTCCTACACATGAGACTCCCAGTAAGAACTATAGTTTGGCAAAACATTAATCTCATGACAGATTGCCAGATCCAAAGTGCTTGAAAAATGTAGAGCAGRCTCATGCTATTATTAATGAATTCATATTTGTGGTAAAGGTATGGGTGAACTTCACCGTAGAACAATGTGCTGCAGTGTGTTTTTCCTTGTTTTCTGCTGCAACTCTGATACATGCCCACAGAGGTATCTCCATAAAACTGCTGCCTTGTTACCATTTGTCTGCATAAACAGAGCAAACTGAAAGTCTACGTTTATTAGATGCTTGTTTTAATTTGATTTTTTTACAAGTAAACTAGGAGGAAATATGCTGAATATGGAAATATGTGTCAGCAGGGAAAAAAGTACTTTTTCAATATCAAATGTTCTATKACACAAAGCTTTAAGCAGAAATTTRTTCTGTACCTTCTSGTGTRTGTGTGCAGCCTGTGGACTGACACTGCTAAAACAATACAGTTTTGTACAAGCCACGCCTTTAGCATTGAGTCCATATTCAGCTGTAATTTCAAAGGCCAGCTATCAGATAGCTTAAAATTATGGAGGTGTTACTTCACTGAAAGGAATTCTCTACATGAAATCAGTTTATTAATACTGCTTGAATTTTTTGGTTAAAAGAGCAGCAACACTGAAACAAATCTGCTGCTGGAATACATTTAATTACAGATTTTATTTCTTTCTTCTTCAGTCCACAAATGAGCCCTTAACTCAAAGCACCTCTGAAGCAATGTCTGAAGTGACAAATATGTTCAGTGACTGACAGGGTGTGTATTGACCAAAGGGGCTCTTTATTGTTTTTAACGGGGCTGGGGCTTGCACCACCCAGCTGTCTTAAATGCTGTCATTGGTCTTAATGCTGTCTTAAATGCATGTTCATTTGGTACTCCATCTTGAAGGATACACTTTTCCTGACATACTGTGCTAAAGGGATGAAATCCCATTAATAAAAATAAAAACTTTGGAGTGATTGTGTTTGATAAAAGCCCAGAATATGGACATAAGGTCATCCAAACATGCTGCACTTTTGTCTCCCATCATGCAGAGGTACCATGGTACTTGTACTGATGTGGTGTCCTGGAAGGGACACGGCTGGGATACAGAGATTATTTTGTACCACCTCACATGGTTGCCAGGGGTGGCCAAAGGGACTCTTTTCTGAGGAGAGCAGGTTCCTTGCAGTGGAGTAAGTGTGGCAGAGGGAGCCCTCTGGTATTGTCTTCTATTGGGATTTTTCCCATGTGAATCGTTTCTTTCCCTTTACCCTCTGTCATTAGTGTTGCTGCTGTTACTGTTCATTTTCTTGTCTTACTGCTCTTGACAGAAAATTGTTCTTATCTCAACCTGTGACCTTTGCCTTTTGTGTCTCCAACTCTCTTCTCTATTCCACTGCAGGGGAAAGAGAGGGGAAAATGGGGGAGCSAGAGAGAGAGCAGAGCATGGTCTGGAGAGCCTTGGTGGGGGCACTGAATTTGGGACTGCCATTCCTAAAACACAGCATGTGTAAGGTCTCACTGCCYAGAAAACTGCATTTGTCTTACAGGGAAAGAGCTGCTTCCATGATTTGCTATTGTGTTTAGGGTAAACCAGTCAGCCTTAAAAATAAGTAGAAAGGTGAAGAATTGCTTTTTCCTTACAGGTCAGTCAATACATTTGTTTTACAACATGCTGCAGCTTGGGTCCTTCTTGCAGGAAATAGAAGCAGAAAAGAAAGCTTGAAAAGTTTTCTTTGAAGTGTTGGGAAAGGTCAGAAATTACACATGAAAGAACAATGGGTAATGAGGAGTGAACCTTAAATATCTAACATGGCACTTCTAGAAATCAGATGTTGTACCTTGCAAACCCTAATGCAGATCTGTTGACTGCTATGTTTATGTGATTTGATAATGAATAATGTTTTGAACATTATTCCAATCTGTTGTAAGTGATTAGCTAGATTAATTCACCATTATATTTCTAAACCAGTTTAATTCCTCTGGGTCCAGTTACTGGAAATTGTTTTTATCCTTTAAAAAATGTATGGAAAAAAATTTGGCAAAATTACAATATTTGTCATTCAGCAAGTGCCAGGGCCTACTCACATCAGTTGATTTTTTTCTGGCAAGGACAATATTCCACAGTGATACCTTCTAAGCATACCTTTTCACAGCAATCTTATCAAGGCAGTGTAAAAATAGCAATAGTTTTCAAAATTCATTTAGCTCTGCTCTAAGGCCTAGAAAAATGTGAATGTCTGGCCTACTTTTCAATCTGGGTAAAGGGGTAGCTGATGTGATGTGATGKAGCAGGGAATCCTGAACTCCTTTCTTAGTGGCTATGGCAAAGGTACTCAAGCCTCATTTTAAATATTGAGGTCATTGGCTAATACGTGTCAGGAAAGCACAGAGCTGTACCAAATACTCCTGTCAAGAGCACGTGYAACAAAGCAGATCAGAATTGGAAATCAATTATAATTGAAACTGACACATGGGAAAATGGGACAGTGATATATTCTGCATTTGGTAATTCAGCTTTGGTAAAGAATTTTCATCTGAAACTTTAACCAAATAGTAAATAAAAATTTAATCTGATGAAAATCACAGGATTGCTTGCTCAAATAGAGCAGAGGCCCCAGAGGAGGCACTGTGACAAAAAGCAAATTTTTCTCTTATGGATACCATACAACTGCTTCATACCATAGTATACCTGATCAAGGTATACATAACAAATTCACAGGTAACCAATTCTCATGTATTCAATATGTATTCAACCAGAATTATGTGTTTAGTGCCTTATGCACTTCAAATAATGCMCACACCTCTTTGGGAGGCATAGCTTTACTGAGCTGAGAGTACTGGAGTGCAYGATCCACAGGAGTCTTCAGAACTGAGTCCAGATTCCAAACCTGACAGCTGTCAGTGCTGGATGCATCTGTACCCAACAGTGCCACTGAACACGGAGCTGGCAAACCCAGCCCAACTGGAACACTGTGCTGTGCTCTGACCCACACCGAGGGGCTCCTCTGGCTGCAAAGCTGCACTTCCCAGCTTCCAAAGGGACTGAGACTGCTGTCACCTCCTCTACAATTTCATACTCAATAAATCAGCTAGCCTGCTCTGAGTGTCAGTGCCTTTCTTACCGGGATCCAAAAAGAGCCGGTACCTCCTCGAAGTAAAACACAGTCAACTTTCAAAGAATGTATCAGTACTCTCCYGTTGGTCCTCAAATTCATTTTCA